TCTGTGCGCCGTTGACGACGGTCTCGTCCATGCCCTGCACGGCGGCGCTCAGCGAGCAAATAATAATGACCGAGTACAGCTGCTTCGGGTTGGACCATTTGTGCGTCTCCTCGCGCGCGAGAGCCTCACGTTCGCTGTTGGTCAGCTGGTCATAGAACGGACCGCCGCCGTAGACCTCCTGCTTCGGCTGCTCCTGCTGTGAGGAGGTTCCGGCCGCACCTTCCGATTGCGGCTGAGCCACACCTTCGGTGGACGACTCGGCAACGGCCCCTGCCGTGTACATCTGTGGGTTGCCCGCAATGACAGCACCGAGACGGAAGGCGCGAACATCCTCGTCGCTGACGGACCCACCCTCGCCCTTCACGGCAACGTTGTGCTTGCGGCAGTAGGCCTCGCCCATGTCGGCGAGCTCTTCGGGTGCGATGCCGGCCAGCGGGTTCTGCAGCTTCTGGCTCCAGGCCTGACGCTCACGCATCTCAGCCGCGGAGTCGCCGGACGACGGGGTGTCACTGGCATCGGCGACGCCAGTAGCAATGGGGCCGCTGGAGGCATCTTCTTGGTGCTGTGCCGAGACCTTGTTTGTTTGAGAATTGGCGAGGCCGGCGAGTTCCTTTTCGTTGGCGCCGTTGCCGTTGTTGTGTGGTTGGGCTGGGTCGGACATGTTGACGACGGGCCCAGAGCTATTGTGGTGACGACAGAAAATAATAATATTCAGTTACTTCAATTTAAAGTATGGATATTTAGTGGAAAGGCCATGCGGGAGAGCCAACGGGATATACGAAATATATTCGAAGAGTCACTGGAGAATAATTGGGGAGAAAGAATAAGCGACGATCGAGTCTGGGGAATGGAGAAGGGGAAAGAAAACCAAAACAAAAATGACCATGTGAAAGGAGGCGATCGACTAGTCTTTATATTTCTGGTCCTTTTTAGTTCTTGGGGAATATCAGGTTTTCGTTTAACAACCACGAGGTACATCTGACAGGGAGGTCGAGGATGTCAAAAAAACAAACTGCGCGAAGGTGGATATGTGGAGTACAACAAGCGAAAAACATGTATCAAAATACGGCGGTAATAGCTTTAGTTTTGTGTGTATATTGTACCTCGCATCAGACCAAGCAGGTATTGGCAAGTCGACAAGCACCATGGCACAGTGTGTACAGTATACGGTATGGAGAACATGCGGGACGAACGAAACGACACAAGAGTGCAGATCGCGGCCAAGAGCGAGATATCGTTGGTCAGTCTAGAGAAACTATTGTGACATACTCTCAAGTCCGGCCCGCCCGTTTTTGAGGGTTTTTGGTTGTCTATGTCCTCTTTTTTTCGTTACAAGTCCTGAGGCCGTCTCGTCCCAGTCTGCATATTTAGTTCTTGTTGGATTACAATCCCTGTTATTTTCATCATGCTTTTTCTTCACTCCTTGACGTCGACCATCCACGACGTAATACATCGTACATCGTTTTATTATTTTATTTTGGTTTTTGAGCTCGGACTATGTTGACCAAAGCCACACAGTTCCCCAGTACGACATCTTACATCGCGATTCCTTGGTGTGTGGATGCCATTGTTGTTGTTGTGGGTCCGCCGATCTCACTTTTTTGGCTCTTTCAATGTGTCTCCAACCTATTGCGTAATGATACTCCGTATTACAGAGCAGACTGTATCCATATTTTGTGTCCAATTTTTTTTGGTCCTCAGACTTTGTAACCATTGCGCATCCAAGCCGCTGTTATCCCGGCCGAACGACCAAGTTTTTTGGAGCAGAATGTGCCTACAGCACCGACAATTCGCCACAAATTAAAGCGCAAAGGCAAGTCGCTTGTCATTACACATGGCGCTGTCCACGCGACCATAAAAGCCCATCTGGGTCGTGCTGACAATATGTACTTTGGACTGTATTATTTTTTGGTTTGTTTGTTTCCCGTATGTGTGCAAATTCCACCGGAGCAAATTCCATTGTCGTGGTTGTTTTGTCTACGTAATAAGAAATTACATGCCAGTTGGAGGTGCGATTCCGGCACAATCTAGTTCACTTCGAGATAGCTTTGGCAAACAGTCAAAAGTTGCCCTGCATCTCGCATCTCGCATCTCACCTCTTCCATCCTAAGATATGTCGTAAATCGTGTTTGTACCGCACGCGTCCGCAGTCTTGCATATGGTTGCCGTGCAGGCGCTTGCCCCTTTTCGCCCTCGGCTTACCAGTCGCCAGCCTCGTTGACGTCATTCTCGGATCAGGTCCATTATGCGTCCACAAAAGATGTCAATTGAGAAGTCAGCCGACGAATGCAAAAAAAAAAATCTCAGCCTCTGATAAAATCCGATAAAAAAAAAAGCATTTATATATAGTCTTCTTCAAAAAGAAAGTTTCGCTGCCGACTGGGAAACAGACCCTGTACGAAATTGGAAGTCGACAATGTTTCCATATGTTGGAAGTCACCGACTTACAACAAAATTGCCCAACTAGGCCACGCGTGGGCGCCAATGTCCGAATGGTGTAAGAAACGAGAGAGGATGAGAGGAATAAGAGAGGAAAATAGTGGGGACAGGGACCACAAATATGACGTAGATACTTTTGGGAGAGTGGGTTGTTGAAGCGGAGCCCCAAGGAAGGGGCGCTAGAGGTGGCCAAGTGCCGCCACTTGCCAGCAACAGCGCGCCGAGCCCGTCATGACTCTGCTCCTTTCCTTGCAACTGTTCTTGTTGTGAATTGGAAGGAGCGGAGGTTGGGAAAAGTGGAATGTATCTCGGACAGAGTCGACGAAGGAAGGAACTGACACCGGCTCTCTATTGTACAACGGAGCGAGGTTGTTCGTTTCACTTTCTTTCAACGACCAACGACCTAAAAGGACCGAAAACTGGAGTAACTAGAAGTAAGTACATTGAAGCAGCGCCAGAACGAAGCTGAGCGAGACCGGGTTTCCTGTTTAGGCAAAGGGCATGGGCCGTTTTATTCGGTTGCCGGTCGTATGAGGTACAACGTCGTCCGATTCTTGAAAAGCACTGTTCCTTCACCAAACCCTGAACCCGTTTCACGGGGCTAAAAAAATACTTTAAAATCACAAGAATGGTTAAACTACCTTAGGGACTTTCTTGGTCAGGGTTCAGAGGTGGCTGCATGGCGAAGAAAAGGACCCCTAATGTGTCCGCTGTTTGCCAATGAGAAGCGTGACATCTTGGGAGGGATGAGAATTGGAAAAGAATTAGGCAATAAGTAGACGCGGATTTGCAGTTGGATTCCTTGTTGCTCGGATCAGTGCTACGAGCAGTAGTATCTGCGACAATGGAAGGTTGCAGGCGAGATAATGAGCAAAAAGAAGAAGAAAACAAAAGGGAGAGAGAAGAAGAAAAAAGAAAAGATAAGGTTCGACTTAAAGAGATTGAAATAATTATAAACAAGGGTAGAATGCCCATCAAGAGTGCCTGCGCCAAGGCCCTCAGAACCCTTACCCGGGTCCATGTATTATGTGCGTATAGCTATGGTCACACCTTGCACATACAAGCTTATTCCGTCGCTCAATTGGGGTTTTGATATTTGATAGCTACTGGCGGGGAGTGTGCATCCAGTCGTGTCGAGTGCATACGTGTCTCTCTGCGGTTGAGAGGAAAGCGCGCAGACCGAAAGAAACGTCTCAAAACATAAATTGTCTTACACGCCGAGACGCCCGCAATGTCCACGAGGTATTATGTGGTACAATGTAGATCGATACACACAAACAACGCAACACGCACGCAGCGAGTACAAATACGAAATACGGAGCGTGCTTGTTTGTCATTGTCGATGGTTCGCCCGAATTTTAAGATTTCGACCGGTTCGACGTACTGTGCACTCAACACAATGCCTTTCAACGTACCACCATAAGCATTTGTTAAGGTAACGTCTTCTCTCGCCGGTCTTGCCGGTTCTACACATTCTTCCTTGGATGTCGACATAAGCGCGGACTGTGAAGATACTGTAGAAGTGGGCGTTCAAGAGCCAAGCCGAAAGAGATGGAGAATAAGAAGAGAATGAAGAGAGGAAAAGGGGCGCAAAACGGAGAGAAAGAGAGGAGAAGAGACAAGTACAAAGCACAAGCTCATACTGCCAAGAGGCCGCATCCGCAGGAATGAGAAAAAGAGTGGGTGGGATCGGCACCCAAAAGGTCATCGGACAGTGCGCCCCGGTTTATTGCTCCGCCGCCGTCTCCGCCATCCGTCAGTCTTCTGCTTTTCATGGCATTTATTCCCACCAACCTTCTTTTAATCCTTCGCGTTGCCCGAAGTTTCCTATCTTTTACTCTTCTCCATCTCTCCGCCCTCCGCATTCTCTCACTCTCTCCGCAAACCATGTGTCCCCGGACTTCCAGACCTGGTAAAACCGTCCGCTGGATGTGGTTCGGCGTTTACGTGGGTTTGGGGCGTATAATATACGGAGCACTGTCTAAAGAGGAACACCAACATATAGAGTTTTCCGTGTCCAGAATGGCAAAATGGGCAGGAGGATGGTGAAATAAATGCCACTATGAAAGTCCTGCATTTGCAAAGCGTATCTCCCTGTCTCCTCACCAATGATTGATCACCTATCAAACTGTCACCCTTGTACCTTATGAATATCTTGGTAACAAACCATACTAGCTATACCCGCATATAAAGTATCTACATGGGCAGATGGGATACAGTATGACTAGATGCTATATACAAATACGGAGTACTAAAACGTACAGTCAACTGTAGAATCAATAAAACAAGAAAACAAGAAAAAAGGGACGTAGTACATTTGGTCGGCAGCCACGCGCAAATAGTGCGACATAATCCAAACTTAAGACAACTTCGGCCATGATGATTGAGTAAAAGGAAATGTGTATTTGACGCAAAATAATTAAGGATCTCCGGCATGACCAGGTACACAGTCTAACGGTTATCACCTTCCCGCCCACAGATTTTGTACATGACAGATGCAATCTAGATCAAAATGTAAATCACCCGCCAGCTTGCGCTGAGATGCGCATGCGATATCAGTGTCATGCCACCGGCGCAACACGTGGACTGGTTCGTAGATAGTCTTCCCAGGTCTGGTCACTTTCCGTACCGTCGTCTTCGACGAGGCTTGCTCTCTCTTCTTCCAATGACGTTACTGTCGCCACCAAGGACACGGGTGCTCGAGTAGGATGCACTCGGGGCGACGATGCCGGTGCATGTGGTGCTGCTGCAACTTCGGTCTTTGCCTGAGACGGACGGTGGACTTTTGGTATCGTCTCGCGAGTGCTGGCTATAGAATTTCGGTGAAGAATCGGCATCGACGAAACCGGGGATCCATACAGCTGGTAGTTTTGCTCCTCGCCGCTGCTCGCAGGGCACTCCATCCGAGTTCCGTACTCTCGGGACGTGGTGCGGTGCGCTTCATTTTGGACCGCCGCTGACGGCGGGCCATAACAGGATGCGCGCCGGTTGATTTCCGCGCTGTGCTCCATGGCGTCCCTGGCCAAATAGCCATCACGCGCTGTTGAAGGCCGCCGCTGGTCGGTGGAGTGGATCTCCGGCAACGAGGTGCGGAAACTACGGTTCTTGGGACTCGGCGCCCGCCGAGTCGACGCGTTGGTTACCGTCACGAGCGACGAGGGCGGATACTTGCTTCGCTGGCCATCATGTCCGCTGCTTTTGGTCCCACTGGCCAAGCAAGAACTACTGTGGCTCGCGACGCCCATATGTCTAGACCGGCTCGAGCTGCGACGATAGTTGTCTTGGCTTGCGCTCCGGTGATGGTCCACATCTCTCAGCGGGTGCTGCCAGCGATGCGGACGACGAGTGTCCTCTTCTTTTTCCGAGGACACTGGGGAATTGTGACGCGAACTTTGACGTGAACCTAGTCGTGAATATGGTCGTGACGATCGAGATTGGCTAGAACTTCTCTGCCGCCGGTCCTCCCGCTGATGCTCGCCGCCATGGAGGTCACGGTGGTCTTGCACCAGCTCATTGCCTCTGCCCGACCTTGATTGAGAGCCAGGGTATGAGGCGTGGCGGCGGTGGGTCGAAAGGAAAACCTTTTCATCAGTACTAATCGACACCGCCCCTGGGTCCGACACTCGGTGGCCATATCCTGCTACTGGCGCTGGTGACTGGCCCCTCGCTCGACCATCGCGATGGCATGCCTGGACGATGGCCGGAGTCGAAGCCGATGGTGACGACATATTACGAGGCGGTGGTGAAGTGAAATGTGTCTGGCTCTTGTAGGCCGTTGACCGGCTGGCCTTCTCCTCTGGGAAGAGGGGGGCGAGCAGAGCAGATTCACCAAAGTGCCGTTTGACAGCTTGCTGCAAAAGCGAACGGATACGGCCATCTGGCACTCGGGGAAGCAAATATCGCGACAGCTGCTTTGGGAGTCTCTCGATTCGCCCGTCCAGGGGACTCACCACATCGAGCGGGAAGTCCGACATGATCCGATTGAGGCGCTGCGAGACGCCGTCTGGGAATGCTTGGAGGTGCAGTACCATCCACCGAGTAAACCCGTCTGGCGTCAAACCCGGGACCCGTGGCTGCAGGCCGGGGCTTTCTTGGACCAGATGATATGTGCAGCCCAGGTCCTGGTATAAATCGGCAACCCGGCGGTTAGAGTCTCGATCCCCAGACTGAAAAATAACTGTTGCAGGTCAGTCTTTGCTCTTTGATGTCGATTTCAACCCATATGCGGTCATTGTTTGAGTTACCTACGTCTGTAACAAAATGGATCACTGTCGACACCGTGGAAATTGTAAAAAGAGGCAAGCTTGGAAGGCACGAGAACAATATTCTCAGAGGAGGGAAATGCGCATATCTGAATGGTTTGGTTAGAATAAAATCTTGATGATCTTGCTTCTTTTCCCTACTTACAATATAGCGCGAGAGACTATGCATGACTTCTCGGAAGCGCTCTGTCGGCTGGTTGTCAATCTCGAACAGGTCACCCCATTTCTTGTCCACGCAAGTTAACTCTCCGGTGTCGCCGACGTCCAGCGAGGCGTGTGCCAGTCGAGTAGTTGCTTTAGGTGTTTCCGATTCATTTTTTGAAGACGAAGATCTGCTAGCTGATCTATTGCTGCCGTTGTTACAAATCTTCACGCCAGCTGGGACCTTGGTGTCGACAGGAACCGCTGCTTTGCGCAGATCGTCCGGAGCACACTCGTCGTCAAAATGGACAGCAGATCGCCGCTCCAATGGAATTTTTGGCTGCCTAGAGGACGAGGATGGCCCAAGACGCGTATCGCCGGTTTGCGGGCTATACGATACCGACCGGAAGGACACGGGTTGTGCTGGAGTCATGGTGTATAAGTCTGTTGCTGCTGTTTGGTAGTGGTTTCTCGTATGTATGTCGTGATGCAAAACTGAAGATGCCATGGTTAATCCAGACAACTAAATTATTTGACGATAAAAAAATTTTAGAAACCGATAAAGAAAATGAATTTGTCTCCTCAAGAGTATGAAAAGATGTTCGGCCAATGTGGCTTATGATATAGAGAATGCTTTGGCGATGGGAAGAAGGGTTCCCTTTAATCTTCTCGCCTTCTCGGCATAAGACTCTGATAGGGGCCTTGCTAAGACATCACACCATTCCATTGAGCCTCAAACAGGGTCTGGACGTTTAAATTTTTTATGTATTGCCTTGCCTCACTTCAGCAGGCTGCTGTGTCACCAACACGGGGTGTTGAGCTTGACTTTTTTGTATGTTTGGGCCCCCGTTGAGCAAAGTTGAGCCCTCTTTACCAACGGATCGTCGTTTGTGTTACCCACAAAGAGATGTGGCCAGGGTCCTCAGCGCTGTGCTATCGCTTATTTCAGCAAGGCGAGGCCACAGGGACTGTGCGAGGGCGGGATGGAGGAGAAGCTGGTGGGAAGCAAATGTCAGATGTGGTTTGGTGGCGGGTGGCGGCACTCAAGCCGTGCTCGATGTTGGTGGCCATGTGGAATGTCCTGTGTTCCGAGTCCGTGACTGTTGCCAGACCGACATTTCCGTAGTCGTCAGATTTTCTGTTCTTGGATACAATGGCCGGTCCAGGTTGGGCCACCGAGGGATTTGGTAGTCGTTGAAACAACGTACTTCGTGCAATCAAAGAACAGAAGTCAGCCCAGATGTCTGGCACACAAGCGAAGCTCATGGAACACAGTCGCAAGTAGTAGAGGGGGTGCAAGGAATACAAAGATGTCCAGTAAAAAAGAAGACAAACAGGTCAAGGCAGCCTCGTAACGTTCATGGCAGTTGCAAAAGGCGGGACAATCGGCGAGAGAGTTTTCCAGCTGGTGCAGATGAACAAGACTCCAGTTTTCGTTTGAGATGTTCCCGGGCGTGGTGTACCTCAACTTCCTGTTTTGCTCTATTCTTTGCTCGAGAAAGCAAGACATGCAGACGCCGTGTCCATCAACGAAATGAGACAAACCGAGGCAAACGTGGAGGGTGAGAAGTCAAAATAAAGGCAGAACTGACAAACGTATCAGTCATTCACACTTGCATACCTTAAACTGCAGCGAGATGAGAACGGCCTCGACAGAGCATCGCAGGTTTGCCGTCCATTTGGCGTGCAGCGACGCATGAGGATAACCTTGTGGTAGGAGAAAAGTATGGGAGGCAATTGCTGTACATGCCACACCCATTCCCTTCTGAATGTCGTAACAATGCATGTTGACAAATCGGAATCCAGAGTGGATGCCCTAGAAATGGCCGAAATGGTTCATGTGCGGAAGTCATCCGGTATTCCGAGCTTCGGATAGAGTGTCGATTGCCAGCTGACGATAAAATCAAGGATATCCAGAATGTCGAAGGTGTCAAAGACGGATCCGGGAGCAAAATAAAAGAAATACGTCTCGGCGAAGGCAAAACCGTCCAATAAGTTCCATCGGTTCTCCCGGTGACGAGATCGAAAAGGTGCATTCTTATCATCTTAGGACTGAGGTTGATTTGATCATTGTTTATGGCCTTCGTCCCATGCTCGTGTTGTATATCGAATGCACTCCATAAAGACAGCCGGCCATATTTATCCCCATCATTGTACATCAACTTCAATGCACAATTACATACCTCACCGCATTATGAAGTCAGAGCTTGTAGGGTGTGGTGCATCGGGTATCGTTCCTGGGATCGCAGACACTGTGTCCTTTCGAACATTCTCGGCGTCGTTCATTAGATCAAAGTATTGAGATCACGCAATGTGACACAGATGTGTATGAGATAAACTGTCCGGAGGACAACGAACTCACAGATTCAGCAAAAAAGCAATACGCATATGACCGAAGCTTGTCCAGGAGGGAAAACGGAGACGCAATGCCGGGCAAAGAAAATACCAGTCATACAGGTTATTGTCCTCGCCCAGTTTGGGCTGTTCTTTACTCTTGGCCACACCTGGGGTGAAGGTAGAAGGAGAATGAAAAAGGCAACATCCTGTTGGACACCGGTCAGCATCGATTCACACAATTCTGGAAAAAAAGGAAAAGAAAGAAAAGGAAAGGCCGGCGTGGGGGAAGAGCAAGTATGTCACCCGTCCACAACCTCGACCGAAGACAAAAGGCGAAAGAGGGAGCACAAACTTGCTGGATCAAGACAGCTTCTGTCGGGGTGCAGGACTGCAGGATCGGCAACTTTTTGCGACGCGTCCTTACAGAGAATTGTGCATAGAGAAACGAACAAGGCGGATGCCTTTCCGTCATCGCACAGTCTCCATACTAATTCCCTCTTTGAGACATTGTAGCACCTTTGTTTGGATCATCCGACGCTGTGTAGATTTCATTAGTAGCATCATGTTTGGATCCAGTCATGGCTACTTAGGTAGAGACCTCACGGGTTCTAATAAGAGCAATTTGTATTGTAGAAATATTTTCGTCCGTCATATTACCGGGTGTTCTCAAATCAAAAACCCTGTCTTCCCACGTCACTTGAGCACTGAGCCTTGCTTGAAGGGCAAACCGACGGCATGCATTGTACATGGTCATGCGCGACCATGGCATCGGATGCGCACCTCCATGTCATAGACATAGCGAGGACGAGAAGAGCTAAACGCTCTCATAGCACCAGGTGGCCTCCTCAACTGCAGGAAATACCTCAGCATTCGTCTTCGCTATCGTCTTCGTCAGCATCTGCATAGACAGTCTTCTTCTGCGGCTGGATCTCTATGCCGCCAGTGTTGGACACGTAGCGAGGAGCAATCAGGGTCGTCTTCCGTTGAACCTAAGAGAGGAGGGCAGCGTTAGCTCACCATTTCGCTGATACTTCACCGCTGTTTTCAGCTGAGGGTTCATACGTACAGGTCTGGCCCATCCATTGCAGGTTTCCGCTCGCTGGGACGGCGCCATTGGCTGCGAAAGAGTGAGCGGCAGCGCCGCAAATCGGGTTTCCATCCAGACAGTGTCCCCACCGCCGCCGGAGCCCGAGACGACCGAGCCGCTCTGGCTGGAGGCCCGTCTCGAATTGGCAGCAGAGAACAGCGTGTTCGAATACGTTCGGTTGCTCTGCGACACAGTGTCAGAGTCGCCCATCAGCAGCGAGCCTCCGACAGGTGTGAGATCACCGCCCAGAGCAGTTGCCACTGGCCCTTTGACGGTGGATGCGGAAGCAATCGAGGCCCCAGACGATGGCGAAGGGCCAGAGTCCGTACTTCTGCCGAGGTTGACGGCGCTCAAAGCCTCGGGAAGGCCACCGAGCTCGCGGTTGCGCGTATCGAGCAGACTGGGGCGCGAAATGTCCGAGCTGCTGCCCACGATCGAGGGCTGTGTGCCAACTTCGATTCTGTCAAACTGTCCAAGCTCGCTCGGGTTGCCTTGGATCCACTAGTCACTCGGTGAGCATTTGCTTCTTAGTATAAGAGGACCAGAGACTCAAGGTAGTAAACGTACGTCTTCAATCCGCTCGCCAGGAACCTCGTCGATGGGAATGATCCCGTCGTGGTCGTCTTCGTCTTCGTCACCTTGGTCGTCCTCATCGTCTTCGTTGAGGGCCGTGGGAGGGACGTACGGAGCGAAGCCGGGCTCAACACTGAGCTGCCAATCCGTGCAGTCGGTGCACCACTACATTCTTCTGTTAGACCGCTACGATTATGTCTCTGTGGGGATGCCTCTCGCGCTTACCGTCTTGCTATGGTTGCGCGTGCTGCGGCTGAAATTCTCAATGGGCTGCCACTTGGCACAGGGGCCCTCGCATTTGAGCTCGCGGCGAATCTGAGTGGAATGGGCTCTGCAGGAAATTTCGGACTGGTCGGGGGGGACACGGGCACGGGCAAACTTCTCCAGCTGCCGATTCGAGAACTCCGAGCGCGGCTTCCATTCGCCGCCAGCAAAGCAACGGATTCTGTAAGTGGTGAGTTGATTCGTGGACTCTATTCCATCAACACATACAGGGGCATCGATGCGTCGTCTACTCACTTCCCGGCCGTGCTCTGGGTCGCCGTGCTGTTCTTTGGCCTGCTGGACCACATTAGAATGAGAAACATGGGGGCTTTCGATCTCTGAGCAGACTGACCGAAGATACAGCGATACCACTCCGTCGGGGCCAGCATCGCGCGGTATGTCCATGGTTAAGAAGGGTACTGATTAGCTTAGACCTATAGATATCTAAATCGAAGATACAGAAGTATTAGATGAGAAGACTGTCTTGTCTTGTCGAGCGACGATGCCTTGAACAAAGCTCCAGCAATCGGTTTGGTGATTAGATGTGGACGAAGAGGGGGAGAGGTCAAAGAAAGGGGGAAAACAGAGACAATAAATAGAGACAAGCTTTTGTTTGCTCCTGCCTTTGGCCCTCTGACTTGTAGTCATTGTATTGGGCGACGGTACTACTTATTAGGAGAGAGCGAGGGTCGCTCCTTCCACTCTTGCAATTTGACAACATGAGGAAGGTCGGCAAATCTTGTTTTGCTCACTTTTCTGTCAGTTTTAAATAGGGGGCGTTTCAATTTTATGTATGGTTCTTGGATGGATTTGAGATATTTCAAAACCGGTGAATATTGATTTTTTTGACTTAGATATTACTGTCACTTGCTAGATTTGTGACTGGGATCATTACCTTTTCCTTTTTTATTTGTATTTTCTTTTCAAATTAATTTTTTTTTACTTCAATGGCAAAATCAGATGTAAAAAAAAAAAAAAAAAAAAAAGACCTAGAGTCACACCATGTATAAAAATGATAAGAAAACGTCATTAGACAATTCAGTAAAGGTGAGAGGACATTCACTGGTTGTCCGTCAGCTGTTGCTGGTTTGTCGCTCACAAAAGTGCCGCCCCACTCGCCATAAAGTGATAACGTGAGCACGCGTTCCGCCTGTCGCGCCTTCTCCAAGAACGGCCCCGCCTCTCCATAGCTAGAAACAGCGACCCACGACGACGACGACTACTTACGCAGGAGTCACGAGATCGAAGAGACGACACGACTGCTACCAACTTTCCCACCACAGGAAACTGGCCAATCTCCCTATGGTTTGCTGTATTTGCTGCACACCCGCCTCTGCCGCCGCCGCTCGCCTCACCCCATGAGCGACCTACACGCGCTGCTGGCCGACTTCCCTTCTGTCGACAAGTATGCCTCTCTCCTTGCCGGTCTTGAGACGCACCGCATCGGCCTGAGCGAGCTGCTGACGCTCGACGCCGCCGAGGTCGGCAAGCGGACGCGGCTGCCGCTGCTCGATCTGCAGCGGCTCTGTGAGGAGGTGCGGGCGCAGTTGGCACAGGTGCCGGCGCGGCCTGTGAAGAGGACAAGGCCCTCCAGGGCGCCGTTGGAGACGGAGGAGAGGGAGGGCGTTGGCAAAGACGGACATGGCCATGACAAGGAGCAGAAGCATACAGATGACCCATCAACCTGCGACACGGGCGGGCGCATCAGCACCCTCGACCCAACTCTCGACGTGGCCCTCGGCGGCGGGTTCCCTACCGGGGTGCTTTCCGAGGTCGTTGGCGAGAGCGGTGTCGGCAAGACACAGCTCCTGCTTAGTTTGCTAGTGGCTGTGCAGCTGCCGCCACCGCGCGGCCTCGGCCGCAAGGCTCTGTACATTTCCTCGGAAGCACCATTGACGACAAGCCGCCTGACGCAAATCATCCGCAGCCACCCGGACCACGAGGCGTTGCAGAAGCATTGCTCACTGCAGGCAATTGCGACGATCAACACGCCGGACCTCGAGGCGCAGGAGCACATTCTGATGCACCAGCTGCCCGTGCAGCTGAGCAAGGCAGAACAGTTTGGCGGCGTTGCGGGCTCGTTTGGGCTAGTTGTGCTGGACTCGGTGGCGGCCAACTTTCGGCCGTTCTTTGGCGGAAGTGTGGGCGACCGAGGAGGCGGTGGCACCAGGGGTCCGGGGGTCCTGACGGGCCGGGGCAGCTCGCTGGCTGCCCGCAGCCTGGAGCTCACGCGACTGGGGATGCTGCTCCGGACACTCGCACAGAAGCACAATTTGGCCGTCGTAGTAGCCAATCAAGTAGCCGACCGATTTGATGGAGACGGCGGGGGCATGGCAGATGGCGGGATAGTAACTCTGTCACAGCAGTGGAATGCGGGCGGCGAAATTAGCGGGAGTATAGCGAGGCATATCTCATCTACGATCATGTCATCCGCTAAACGTCCTCGACAAGGGCCAATGCTTCCACCACCGTCGGTGCGGCAACACCAACCACCACCATCCAATAACACACCACTTACTCAAGAGAGTCCACTGGCCGCTAGGAGCCGGCGGCAACCGACAGCTGCGGTAGCTGCTGCGGTAGCTGCTCTGGGAATGTCATCTCAACCTGAAGTTGACACAAAAGCCGAGGATCTGATAAAGCTGCCCCCGTCGAGCACGGACGAAAAACCGTCGATTGTTTCTCCGGAAGATACCCCACTATCTGCCAACGACTTCCTACCACCCTCTTCACAATATATCCCGCCATCGCAGTTTCCGCCATTGTCCCCGGCACCCCCTGTGCTCCAGCTCGACCACCAGCAACGGTGGTTCACCGGATGGGGAGACGACCCCAATGCGTATGGAGGTGGTGGCGGCTCGGATGCGCGCAACAAGACACCGTCGCTGGGCCTTGTCTGGGCGACGCAACTCGGCATGCGCGTGGCCCTTATCAAGGCGTCACGCACGGGTGGCCACGGCGGCAGCGGCTACCGACCGACCGACGGCAGCGGCTACGGCGTTGACGACGACGAGTACGACGAGAGCAGCAGCATTGACAGGCACAATACGGGCGCACCGCGGCTGCGACACTCGTGGCGGCGCTGGATGAAGGTGGTGTTTGCTCCGCACGTGGCGGCTACAGGGGCGACGTCGTCCTCATCGTCGCCCACACTAGAACGATACAAGTCGGCGTTGGCTGCTCGTATGCAGGGTGCTGTCGAGTTTAACATTACCATGGGGGGACTCCGTGCCGTGTTTCCGGCTGCGGATGCGAGGCAGAGGTGAAAGACTGCAAAGTTACCCAGACGAGCGAATACAGACGAATGATTTAACTGTTCATGATAGACGAAATCCATGTATCTAATGGGAGGTTCAGCGTGGGATTCTTATGAGGGAAAGCTAATTCCATTTTGCCAGCTGTGAACCCCCTCTGCCAATGCTATGTGAAAACGATGCCTGCCCAGTCTAAAATAATACAAAAAATAAAATAAAATAGCACCTTGCATGACGCCGCTTGTCGTTTTCTTATTTTTATTGTTCTCATTCTTACGTCTTTTGTGTGCCGTGCGGGAACTCGTCTTCGAGCTGCAGCCGCACACCCACGTTCATGCTAATCAGCTCCTGCACCAGGAGCTTGGCCGCATACGGCATCGTCATCTGCGTCACATCGCGTGTGCTGCGGCACGTCTGGCAAAAGCCCTTGTAGCCAAACAGACCGCACCGCTGGCAAATGTCGAGCGACGTCGCGTCAGAGCTCGTCATCAGACGCTCCAGCAACAGCTGAGAGGCGCCGTAGGCGATGAGACAATCACGCTCCATCTCACCCAGACGCAAACCACCGTCGCGCGACCGACCTTCGGTGGGCTGCCGCGTCAGGATGGCGCGGGGCCCGCGTGCACGCGAGTGCATCTTGTCCTGCACCATGTGCTTGAGACGCTGGTAGTAGATGGGGCCGTTGTAGATGTGGGCTTCGAGCAGCTCGCCGGTGACACCGGACGTGAACGTGTCCTTGCCCTCCCAGGAGAAGCCGTTGCGCACGAGCTCCTCGCCCATGGCCTCCACGGGGTGCGAACGGAAGGCATCGCCGTAGCCGTAGTCGCGGCGGCCGGCCACGACGGAGGCTTTGCCAGTCAAGCACTCAAACAGCTTGCCGACCGTCATTCGGGACGGGAAACCGTGGGGGTTCATGATGATGTCGGGCACGAGACCCGAGTCGGCAAACGGCATGTCTTCTTGGTCGACGATGATGCCCACGACGCCCTTTTGGCCGTGGCGCGACGAGAACTTGTCGCCAATTTCGGGGCGCCGCGTTTGGCGCGTCTGCACCTTGAAGATGAGCGTGTCCTTTTCCGTCTGCGAGATCATGACCTTGTCGACGTAGGCGGGGTCGTTGATGCGGTAGGTGAGGGAGGAGTCGCGGTACTCGTTGGAGCCGCTGTCCAAGCCGATGCCTGTTGTCGCCAGATCCACAGGGCTTTCCTTCTTAATCATGACGTCGCCGTGCCGCACGCGCCAGCCGACGGCTGCTAGGCCGTCGTTGTCAATGGCCGAGTGCTTGGCCAGGCGCTCGCCGCGCTCGTCGCGCTCGGGAGCGCCCACGCGTTCAGCACGGCCGTTGGGATACCGCTGCAGCTCGGCGACGTACTTGCGGAAGACCTGGCAGCGGCCAAAGCCACGGTCAATGGATGCTTTGTTCAACACGAGGGCATCCTCAATATCGTAGCCCGAGTACGACATGACGACGACAGTCGCATTCTGCCCGGCCGGCAGCTTGTCATAATGCACGAGCTCGATGGTCTTGGTCATGACCATGGGCCGTTGCGGGTAGACGAGCGTGTAAAGCAGAGTGTCGATGCGGTGGAACTGGTTGTATGCGATGGCGCCGATAGCTTGTTTACCCATGGCACACTGGTAGGTGTTGCGTGGCGACTGGTTGTGGTGGGGGAAGGGAATGAGGCCTGCGACAGCGCCGAGGATCGTAAAGGGCTCGATCTCCAGATGCGTCGTGGCCGCGCCGCAGTCCTTTTCATACAGCGCCACCAGTGCGTCCTGCTCCTCGTTGACGTCGAGGTACTCGATAACACCGCGCCGCAAGAAATCGTCAAAGGATACCTTGCCCATTTGGAGGAGGCGAAGGTGCTCCGGCTGCAGCCGTGGCTCGCCGTTCTTGACGATGATGTACGGCCGGCAGATGCGCCCCTCGTCCGTGGCAATGTGCACGGCCGAGAAGTGCGCGTTGAGGTTGATGCTGACAAAGGGCGAGATCCAGCCGCGACGGCGCATGGTGCGGAACTTGGCCGCAAACCGCCGCGGGTTGGGCGTCAGCGCAAAAGGTGTACCGTTGACGTGGATCACATAGGCGCCAGGCCGGTGGATTTCGGCACCTGTGAAGTTGCGCAAGGGCTCGACGCTGTCGTCCAGCGAGAACACCCACTCGCGCACGGGGCCTTCCTCCACGTGTGTTGTAATGTGCGTCATGAGCGCCAGGTTCTTGACGAGGCCGCAGGCCTCCCCTTCTGGCGTGTCCGACGGGCACAGCATACCCCACTGCGACGGTTGCAAGGCCCGCGGGCCACTGACCTTGCGGGTCTTCTCAAACTGACTGTTGATGCGAGTCATCATGCCAAGGGCGCTGATGTAACTGAGGCGACTGAGAACGTGGGTGACACCGCCCCGGTTCATTCCGAAGCGCTTCACGCTCCAGTTGCCCGTCTGGATGGCGCGGTTCATGCCCATGGAAATGACACTGCCGGTCGCGCTGATGGACGTCAGCGGGTCAAAGGCCACGCCCTGGTGCGGCTTCTTGAAGAACTTGTCAATGTTGGCACGCAAGTTGCCCAAGAAGTTCTTGAACAAGTCTTCAAACAGAAGGGAGAGCATCTGCCCGGCCAGCTCGAGACGCTTGTTGCCGACAAAATCGCGGTCGTCGACCAGCCGCGGGTCGTGTGCGGCCATGAGCACGCGGCGCGCCATCATGGCCACGTACACGGCCTTGGGGAAGAAGTCGAGCCCCTCGATGGGCACATGGGCAATGATAATATTGGCGAGAGCGTCGAGGCCCTCCTCGACGTTGTTGCGCCGCTGCGGCGGACCCATCATGCGCGGCGGGCCACCGGGACCGCCGCCGCCGCCGCCCCCACCGCTGCGGGCGCCCATCTTGACACGCGCGCCGATGTACTCGAGCGCCTGCTGCTGGGTAAAGACGCCGGCCTTGGCAGCATCGTCAAAGTTGACGGAAAAGTCGTCTTGGTAGCGGCCGTCGGCGCCGGCCACCAGCTGCATGATCTCGTAGTCGGAAAGGCCGCCAAAGGCCTTGAGAACGATGACAATGGGAATGTTTTCGACGAGGACATTGTGCTGGAGGGTCATGCGCTCCTTTTTAAGCGTGACGTACGTCTTGCTCTTGCGCTCGTGGGTCGACGACGTGACGGAGGCCGAGATGACGTTGTTCTTCTCTTCGGCCTCGACAATGACACGGTTCTTGCTGAGCTGCTCCTGGATGAGAATGACCTTTTCGGTGCCGTTGATAATAAAGTAGCCGCCGGGGTCGAGCGGGCACTCGTTCATGACCTCCATCTGCGAGTTGGTGGCACCGCTGAGGCAGCACTTTGAGCTTTTGAGCATGACGGGCATGCGGCCGAGGGCGATGTTGCGTCGGATGACGCGCTTCTTGTCGCGCGTGTAGGCGATGTCGACAATGATGGGTGCCGCGTAGGTCATGTCGCGCAGGCGGCACTCCATGGGTGTGACCTCGTTCTGGGCCTTGACATCGCTGTAGTCGGAGCGTGTGGGACGGCCGACGCGGATGTCGGTGAACTCGAGGTAGAAGCCGCTCTGGACATCGCTGCGGATGGTGCGGTTGGCCTTGACGATCTCCTTGATCTCCTGCTCGACGAAGAAGTTGTATGAGTCAATGTGTCTGTTGGGGTTAGCGGGGGCGTCTTGATATCACGAGATGCAGAAACAAAATCGACGCTGAGACAGAGGATCATACTGCTTGACAAGACCTGGGGTGTGAGTTAGCAGAGGCTCGTCAGACGGTACAGCAGAGAATGGCAAGACAATCCGGGTCCGTTACGCACCCTTGACCTTGAGAAACGCCGGCAGCAGCTGGTACTTGTCCTCCTTGGTCGAGATGGGGTCCGTTAGCCGCTTGCCATTGTAGAAGGGCTCGAGGAGCGCCTCGAAGCCGTCGTCAATGACCGTCATGGTAAGTGAGAGGACTGGAGGCCCATGGTAGATTGTGAAAAGAGCTGGCGGATAGTCGGAGTGCACGAGGATGACATCCGCAGGACACAAAGATTGTGACGTGAAGCTCGGGGTCGCAAAAAGATCAGTCACCGGTGGGTGACGAGCCTGAACATTTTTTTAGTGGAGCCAGCCTTCTCTTTGCGATGCGCCTAAGCTGCGATTTGGAGCTTCCGGAGCACGGCTGACCAACCAGTCCCGGCGTTTGGAGGTCACGTGCAACACCTTTTAAAGGCCGGCACCGAAACGTTGTGCAGGGCCGAATATAAACAAGTGACGGCAAAGGACAGCGGACAGAGTCACGTATACCGACCTTGTATTTCTATAACAGAATAGAATCTTCCTTTAAGGTCGGCTGAGACGTGAATATAGTGATGTCGACCGTTTAATAAGGTACATCTTCTCTGGGAAGTATAAGACAACTAGTTGACCAATCAGATCGCCTCATTTCGAAGCAGGTGGACTTCCAGTCACGGAGTACGGTTTCGCTTCAGTGCATACGAAAATTTGGAGTTTCCCAATGCAAGAATAGTTGTTTCTAGAGTCTTCATAGTCTCAATGCAGTCGAGTGCCTCGTACGACGTATGACCCTCGTGAGCCCAAACCTCAGCCCTTTTTTGCATCTCCTCAGTTCCTTCCGTCTGTTCTCTTGCTCGAACAAAACCCCACCTTCCGTTTTAATTGCTGATCGCAACCGTCAAGAAAGAGTGTCTTTTCTCTTGCCTTCTTGAAATTGTGGGTTTGCACACTGCCTGTCACGCCATGTGTACACCTCCATGAGTCGGAGAAGAACAAGTCCATTGCTCAGCTTGTACGGCTTTTGCTGGCATGTTACAATGTCCATTGAGTCCACAAACGTGCACCGTCGACAGCGTCGATAGCAAAAGCCGAAACTCGTGCTCCGGTATCACATCTTTCCATCCTTTTTTGCGCTTACAGCGGGACAAATACAGCCATAAACAAATCAGAGCATATGCCTGCAGGGAGTTTCCTTCAGCTGCTTGGTCTACCCCTTGCTACTTTACCGTCTCATGGACTAGACGGATTGGTCTTCCTGCAGGTGGCATGCGGTCTGTCGTCTGCGTCCGTCGCTGCTGCACGGATGTGCTGGCTGGCAGGGTGTGTGTTGTTGTGATCGGACAAATGCAGCTAATGAGACACTACGATCGTTGACCACGAAACTAACGAACCGATGGACAAGACGGGCCCGCAGGGGCAGCATTTTGGCAGCTTTTGCAGTACCCACCCTGTCACGTTCTCTCGCTTGAGATAGACAATTTCATGGAACTCGACGTTGGACCTGTATCCGATGGTATTTGAATATTTGAAAATGTTCTTAATACAGTGGGCATGTACTGGCCCTACATTGGTGCGTTGGCCGTTTTGTGTTCCGACCGGCATTGTACTTGGTGTCGAGCAACGTGCGCCTGCTCGAAGGGCGGGGACCCTCTGAAAGTACGAGACGGGACCTGATGAGCATTGCCTGCGCCTACTCTGCATGTTGTGTTGGTCTTTTGTGGAGGGGAAGGGGGAGGGGGGACGACACGCAACGGCGGGCACATATGGGGAAACAAGGCACAAGGCATAGTCGTTCGGGTGGATGGCCTTGCTCATCATGCAAGCCAATGATCAGGGAGCAGTTGCAAGCACAGTTTTGCCTCCCAGCAAGAGGACACGACCTGGGCATGCCGTGTTGTGTTCAACGTTGTACGATTGAACCAGGGCCACAATGCAAAATGGCCCAAATGGTCGCCATCCCGTCCGTCAATAATAGCCTCGGAGGCGGGTATTCTGGGGTTCTAGCATCAAGCAGTGAGCTGACAAACCTGCATGAGAATGTGGCGATATACTGTACCTTGCTCAGCACTCCCGACAGTCAAGTGATCTGGACGACGCCATAAACTTGGTCTGCCTCGTCAGGTGCAAGAAAAAGTCATAGTAATTAGTGACACTAACACGCAACCTTATTGTCCATCTTGGCGTGCACGACGAAGGAGGCTGGGAGGATGACCTCTGGCGAAAGCTTTGACTCCTCTCCCCTTGCGTTGTTGTCGTCGAAACCAAGATCGATTTGCGGGGCGGAGAAAGAAGCGGTGAGAAAAATTGGGGTAAGAATATCACAGGCGAGGGGCAAAACACAAACAAGAAAACGAAAAGGTCCCAGCGCCCGTTTCGCCAGGGTACACAGTTTTCGTTGCGAGGCTAGCACATAGAGCGTCTCTCGCGTTGAATTCTGGCAATGACAGCAACTTCAGAAGCATCTCGTGCTCAGCGATGATAAAGAGGCAATGTTACACCAACCTCTGATGGACGACGTCGCATACAATATGGACTGGCTTGATATGAAATAATAAGAACCGGGTGTTGCTTTTGTCTTTATCCAGCATGGTATGTTCTTAAGTGTTGACTGTTCGTGTGAGACACTGTCATGACCAGCCACCCTGTTTCGACATATTGAAGCAAGGGACTAATAATACCTTCTCGTCTGGTGAGTATGCCCCTCTATTGATAAAGACAAAATAAACAAGAAAGAGAGAGGGGTGAATGGATACCCTGATGAAAAATAGTTTGGCGGCAAAGACGGAGAGTAAAAAATTCTACAAAAAGAGACATAATCTTGCGAAGCTCCATTCAAGCTTTGGCGTTCGTATTTTTAAGATTATCACGTGAAAACACATCTACCCCTTCCCCTCCATAAATTTATGATGTTCGTCATTACACTGTTTTGATCTATGTGCACATGCTTTGTGCTGTTCTTCTAATCTCTTCGATAATTTTGTTATATTTTGACTTTGTGCTCTCCCAAACATATGTTCGCCTTTCCCCCGAGGCCCTTTTTCTGCTGTCTCCTTTCCTCCACGACGTGCGTTCTCCCATAACCACATTTTGCCCCTCCACGCCCCCTTTTTTGATTTTGTTGACTTTATTAGTCTAGTCCCGCTAGTGGAGCTTTCCGTCGCGGGCATATTGTAGCTCGTTTTGGTCTTGCTCAAAATGAAAATGCTCTAGTTTCAGTCGAACAAAAAGTCACCATGACTCCGTGCGACGTGCGCCGTATGGATCCTTTTATCAGAAACCCACATGCTCCGTAAAAGGAGGTTGTCTAATATTGAAGAACAGGAAATGGAAATATACCTATGTTCTTTTTTTATATATATAAAAAAAAAGGTGCTATCACTTCGTAGAACAATCGAACGATTTCGGATCATCATGGTAGATGAGCCGCGTTTTCTAGAAAGCTTCCTGAGTTTCACTCTTCGCTGCCCTTAAAACGTATTACCGTACATGATCCGGAAGATTTTTATTTGCTGTGCCTGATCTGCAGTAGCGAATTACAAGTTGACGTTGACAGGGAACAAAACCGCAGAAACCTTAAAACGGGGTGCGGCAGACGAGACGAAAGATAAACAGGACTGCGTCATGCAGAGAGCTGGGCGTGGCTGTCTGTTAGATAGTCTCAGCTGCCTTCTTCCCTTTCTGGCTTTTGGTGTTTCCTTGTCTGCCGCCAGCTTCGACCTCGACTCAACTGATCGATGTCCCTGATCCGGGTAAATGCGCCGTGACGTGTGGAGACAGAGATGGCAGTTGGCTTTTGGCTGGTTTTCAGCAGACAAGTAAAGACCACCAAAACCATGTTTAGTCAGTAGCTGATCACCACCATTGTCCCTATCTTGTGCGTTGTCCCGTTGTATGCGTTCAAGGTGATATGCATTTTAGAGTGCGTAAAATAGTCGAACCTCCCATGTGAAAATCAAACACAGCCTCTTCCCTATGACAAGCCTTGGGGCCGGTAGCTCCATCTCATCTCGTAAACTCAACTGACGTACGGAGCACCTGACATTTGAGAATTCTAATACCAGTGCGCGAAGGATCTGATTGTGACCATGACTTTGCTCGGAGTTGTCGTTGAGATGGCAATGGAGAGGGCAGATTAGACTCCGTCGCAACTATGCGCGACATGACAGAAATGTTTCACCCCTCCTGGTGGGCAAGCGGTTACATGGGGGTCCAAGCTGCGGCAAGCAGGGGCAGACGGAAAGCAAAGGTAAGAATTTGGAGCGACGAGATTGAGGTCGGATAAAATAGCTGATCTGTGAGTGGTAAAAGTGAAAGAATTACAGATATCCTGTAAAACGCACAGCTTAGGAAAGGAACGACAAAAGAACAGGAAAGAGACAGACAATCCGCGAGACTAAAGGTACGACTCCATACCTTCAGTCCTGCTGTGCTAGTTATGGCGCAGGAACAGACGCAGAAATGCACCGGGGCCGTTCGTGCGTGTGTTTCGTGTTTCGCGTCCCACGCCGCCGCTGGTACCTGTCCCTTGTGTGAATTTCGTGCTTGGTCGGGAAAGCCGACTTGGGTCTGGAAAGACTTGAGAGCATGGCAAGGGAGAGGGAGACAGCGAGATACCCCGTACTTCGTTTGTGTCATGAAAGTACGCCTGTCAGACCGGGCCAGCCAGGCCAGATCATCACCAGCCAATTGAATGCTCAAGTGCACTTGGACTTGGACACCCAATTTGCAGTTTCTCATCATACCCATCCCATTTTCTTATACCACTCGTCTTCTCCCGCATGCCGCCGCAAACCCTCCCACACCTCCCACCCAGAAATAGGTATGGGGCTGGAGAGCTGGGGATTGTCATTCGCTGTTGTCGAGGCGTTGGACATGGCTCTGGCCATCACCTTGCAGACTTGCTCCTGTTTTGGACAAGCAACTGACAACAACCCGCCGGGTCTGGCCCTTTTTTGGGGAGAAGATCTCTTCTTTCGGACTGGCCCACACAGCCTTAACCAGGGCCTGTGCTGCCTCTTGTCTCCGAACCCCTCCCCCCTCTCTTCGACTGTCCTGTTGTTTTGGTTTTTCGATCGCGGACAATATGGTGACCCATTGCCGGCTTCTGCAGAGCTAAAGTAAGATGCCGTATTGTTATGACAAGCGAATGAAACACAGCAAAGAAAAAAGGAAACAAAAGAAGACCACACGTCAACAATCGCCCTTGGGTAGCAATGAAGGTAGAGCCGTGGCCAGGCCCCGTCCACACAAGCCCTAACTTCCCTCACACTCATCTTGTGCTGACGCTCAATAATTGTCAATCAAGTACGACAGACTCGGTTCGTCGTAGAAACTGTTGGTTGTCATCGAGTTGCCACGAGCTGTCAGTCTGCCAGTGTTGAGATGCCTTTTCACACTGTATGGTAGTATATCGCGCTATGATCACGGCGCCAATCACCTCGCTCTGTGACGGGCGGCTGCTTTAAGAACCCCGATTTTTCGAGTTTCTAAGCATTGGCGCTGGTGTCGTGCTGGCGCTGGTCCGAGCCTGGCCGCTTCGGCCGCTTGTTGTTGACCGCCTCGTCCACCCCTTTTCTCACTCTTTGCCCCAAGCCTGTCATTGGGCGACCGCTCCTGCCCAAAATTCAAGAGAAGTGTTGTGGCTTTTGTTTACTTTGAGTCTATGGCTCTTTCTTCTCTTGTCCTCTTCTCAATCTGGAGTGCACTGTTGGGACTACTCAGTGGAGCAATTGCATCGGTGGCACTTTCAGGGTGTTTGCAGCACTGTATGTCTATGTACGACGTATTATTACGGATCAAATAAGGAGGAATACCCTCTTGTCTGACCTGTCGACCCTTCCTATTCCTCGGATTTTTCAGCGCTCCGCTCTACCAGTCGCACTTTCCCCTTTTGCATGAAAATCCCTGACTACCCTGACTCCGTGATTTAGTTGGGTGGCTCGTCGTCGCCTTTCTGCCGTGTCTCCTGGCGTTTGGCTCGAGTCGAGGGGAAGAGCGGGGGCGGCTCCTGCCTTAGGCCCCCCAAACTACGGTGCGGCGCCAGCAAAATGTAGCGAGGGGGGGTGCGCTTGACAATAAACAGCGGCAAAACCCCTGACTTTTGTCTGCTGGTAGCTCTTTCCTTGTTGTCTGGCTGTGCGATACGTGGTATGCACCGTCGCCAATATTACCCACCTCCAAACACTCCTCCTGGCGTCTCTCCGCCCACTTTCAACCCATCCAAGCCCTACCCTCACCTACTCTCCTCCTCTCGTCCTCCTCCTTTCCGCCTACCTCTCTCTTTTTTGGTTGTCTCCTCGTCACGCTCTTTTCTGGTCCTACTTGGATTCCTTCATTTGTTCCATATCTCTTCCCTCTCTTTTTGGTCTGTGTTGTATATTCTACTTTTGCTTCTTCTTGTACCTTGATTTGTATTCCCAATCCTCGCCTTCTACCGCCTCCTCCACCCCCTCTCTCGTCTCTCTGACTCTTTCACTGGACGGCAACCTGTATCATATATATTTTGTTCTATAAAGGTACGTTCTATACTGGCAAAGCAGATATGTCTTTCTCGAAACCCGTCGGCCTCTCGCTCGACACACTTCGCTGCATCGACCGCCCCTCTCTCCAACAGCGAAACGCCTGCGCCCCTTTGCCCGCCAGCCTACGCCGAGGCGGTGTGCTCAACCAATGCAGCACAACTTTCCGAACGACTCCCACCATCTGCAGCTGTAGTGGACTCGCTCAAATGCTGAGAGCATGCGACCGTATCTGCAAGCTCACAAGCCAAAACACCTGCATGAAGACCGTCTCTCGCAAAGGCGACGATGGTTGGCAGGCGGCCTGGGTGTCGAAAAGGAATAGCGACAGAAGAATGGCGGCATAGGCGCCGACAGCGGTGGACCATATCTACTTTGCTTTTTCATCTTTCCTGGAATAGCATAAACCACACGATACCTTGAGCAATGTCGCCATGGGACGAAGCGAGGTCGCACACGGCTAACACTCCGGCGCTTCTTCCACAGTATAATATTCCCTGCCAAGTCAAGTATGATTCTGGCTGTGTACGAAGCGATACGATACGATACGGTGCTGTAACAAAACTGAAAAGTCACGATACGATACGAAAACGGAAACGAAGGACTCTATCAAACGACATAGTCTACAAGCGAAGCGAAGCATCCAGACGCTAGACGCCGGCACAACCACGCAGGACGCACGACAAGTCGGGACCGGATCCAATTGCGACAACAAACGACGGATTACGAACTTGAATTACTTAAATCACATTGGATATCGACCAGTCACTCAAGTAGCTTACAGCTTATATCTTACATCCAACCTCCATAAATCACTATGGACGAGCTGCGGTACCGCGCCCAGCAGCCTCCACTCGGCGACGCCACTATGGGCTCGTTCGTTTCGCCGGCCCGGAACGGTGGTAGCCGCCTGCCGCAGCCCACTGCTTCCCACGACCCACGATCTGTTCTACCCCGGCGCTTCACCACCGACTCGGGGCGCGTACCAACATTAGCCAGCATCGCTCCCCAACGTGCGCCCGAGTCTCAGGAGCTTGCTGCCTCGACGGTTCGTACACCTGAGATTTGTGGAAGGCGTGCCTAAGTCCCGACATGCATCCATCTGTGGCAAAAAAGCTAACGATTTTTTCATATATAGGCGCTGCATAAGGTCCAATTGGTGAGTGACAAGATGCCAATGGAGTGAGCCGAGACACCTGCATTGACGACCAACCACAGACTAACGCTTTCACAGCTCGAGAAGAAGCGGTTAGAGTACGAAAAGCTCCGCGAACAGAAGCGCCGCTTTGAGGCCGAGATGCACAAGCTGGACCAGCAGCAGCGCCGCGACGAGCAGGAGCTCGCCGCTATGCAGGAGGACCTCGGCCGCCTCGGAGCCGTTGCTATCGCCACCGGTCACCAGTCCGAGCCCACAACACCCCCCGAGTACCGCGAAACCACCGCAACCGGTTTCCCCTCCATGTTCTCCCGCCCCAACCGCTACTCCACGTCCAGCCTGACTTCGCCACCGGGCATCTTCAATCGCCCCGGCCGGTCTGGCTCACAGATTGCCTCGCCGCAGGCAGGTATCAACATGCAACCGCCGGCCTCTGCCTCTTCCTCGACAGCGTCCAACGCTCAGCAACAGCAGCAGCAGCAACAGCACGGCTTTGGTTTCGACGACCAGTTGCCCTCACGGTCAGTGCCGACCACGCGCCGCAACAGCGACGAGGACGAGAAGGAGGAGGCTGTCCGCCAAGACCCCACGAGCCACCGCTCTACAAATGCGTACGTACAGACAAACCCTGTTGAGTTGTCCCGTCATTTGCTGCGAATATCCCCACATCCCCATGTCCAGACCACCTTAAGGAGAGGCCTTGAGGGCAGCTTGAGGGCAGCTTGAAAATTCCCCTCCCACATCCGTCTCCCCTCGTCACAATGGCCTTTTAGTGTGGTCTTAATGTGCAATGTACAACAGAAAAAAGTAGGGCATCCAAGTAGGGCTGTGCTTCATCCTGCATTGTTGAGGTAAAGTGAGAGTGAGAATGTGTTGAGATGTTGCAAAGCGGGAGAGGTCAGTGCTAGTGCGACTCTCACGACTAGCTCACAACTGGCTCTGGGACAAGGGCGTATTCGCTTGCTCACCCATTCAATGGCTTTGCATTGGCCCACCAGCCGACCACAATCATGTTTGCTCGTCACTTTCTCGTCAGTATCTTGTCAGTGATGCAGAGCTATTGTCATTTCCTCTGTCATTGTTGCAGGTTCTTGCATCTTTGGAAAGCTTGTTGGTGGAGCTTGATCTTCTTGGTCTTTCTTTATTAAAGACAGATTTGGTAGAAGCTCCATTGTCGATCTGCTTTCAATGCCACTGCATCCTATTTAAGGCATCTGTATTCATGCTTTTTGGTTTCTTATTTCTCCATTACCTTCCCTTTATTTCACCTTGCCTCTTCCTATTGACATCTCCACCCTCAAAAACATATATATCGTGTATCATTTCATCTTTCAACCGTCTTTCCTTCTTTCTTTCTCTTTCCTTTCTTTTTCAGCCACATGCTTGCTCGATACGTTGATTTTCAACTTTGAGCAACTTGCGGTCTCGGTCTTGGGTCTCTCTGGAAGCTCTCAAATCTGCCTCTTCCGAGATTCGACAAGCCTCAAGCCTCACTTACAGCGTCTCTCCTCGCTTTTATACGTCCCGGATGATCTTTGTGCTTCGTTTTATTCATTTTCCTTCCCCAAAACTACCCATCATGATGTCGCCAGCTTTTGCTGTCGCCGAAGATGACGACGTCTTTGCTGACATTTCGCCGACCAGTCTCAACCGGTATAGCATGCCCGTGACGAGATCACGGACTGGTTTTTACGATTTTTCGTCACTCGACCAGACGAACACCACCCGCTTCCTCTTTGGCGAAGAGGAAGAGCATGCCACGAATGGCGAGACCAACAAAATGTTCCAGCAGACTGCCAATACCAATGTCACTGGCCTTGACGAGAGCTTTCCGACCCTGACCCGCAGCGAGGGTCAGACGAACACGGTGAGTTTTTACTCTTTCAATTTATCTGACTACGATTGACTTTTTATCTTCGATTTGCGTGTTATTGCTATATCGACATTGTTGGCAAAATTTGAGAATTTTTAGATTTGGCCCGGGGTGCTCTCAGCTTCATCTCAGATCTCACTCAAGATATTTTGTCACCTTTTAACACCCATCTCCACTTCCAATCATCGCTATCCCACTTTGACGTCCATCCTATTACCCACTTTTGCACCGCTTTTTATTGTTCCCCTCCCCTTTCATATTGTTTGCCATTCCTACTACACAAAGTCTTGTTTGATTTTTTTTTCGCATTTTTATTCGCCCATATCTTCCAAAGCAGTCTCTAGTCGTCCAATTGCTGATATTGTTATGTACTATTAGTTTTCGGCATCGTCTACCGCTCTGGACCTTGCCCTCTCACAAAACCATGGCTCTGAGACCACCAACACGAACGGTTGGGGCAGTGTTCGTCGCCACCGCGGTCAGCCCAGCCTGAATGGTCTTCCCAATGGCTCGTCTGCCCAGTCGAACTCGTCAGACGGCAGCAAACTTAACAGTCTTCCTGGCCGTCATTCCTTCGATCTCAAGTACTATGGCGATGGCACCGCCGAGGCCACTGTCGCTGCCATGCTAGCGGCGTCCCCGTCTAGCATTGCCACGCCTCCCAAGCTGCAGCAGTCGTACTCCGCCAACGACATTGCCACTGTCAAGTCGACGCCCGGCTCGACCATCTCGTCCAGCACCAACAACCACGCGCAGCAGTACCTGCACAACCATAATGCGAGCCTTGGCCGTATTCCTGCCGGTGTGATGCATAACCGCCATAGTCGCGAGCTGTCCACCAACGAGATGAACAATGCCGTCCGCGAGTACACTTCCATTGGCACTGCTCTACAGGCCAACGCTGCCCCCTACGGCAACGGTTCTGGCCCTGGCACCGGTCCTGGCGCTGGCCCCGTGCCCAGCAACGCATCTGTTGCGCACACGCAGGCTCCCCTGACCGCCAACGCCCTCGCTGCTGCGGCTGCTGCTGCCTCCTCGACTGGCACTGTGACCACCTTGCCCCCGACCACCTCCGGCAACAACCAGTTCATGAACGGCTACTACGGGGGCAACAACTACAGTCTGTCGACTGCTCCTCCTGTCACTGTGGGCAACCCGGCTGCCTATGGCATCAACAACATGCCCGTGCTGACCCAGGCGATGCAGGGCATGGCTCTGAACGGCCATAGCCCCATGTACCAGCTACCCCAGGGCTTCAACGGTTATGCACCGCTGTATGGTGCGCCTTCTCCCAATGTCAACCAAGCACCGCGCGACAACCAGACTCGCATCATGCAGAGCCGTCGCCAAATGGAGAACGAGGGTAAGCGCAAGTGTTCTAACTTAATCTCTTTTGTGTGTATGTCTGGTTTTTCTTGTGTTTCGAGCACTAACATCGTGCAGCCATGAACCGTTATAACAACACACCCCTCGAGGCCGTCGGCGGCACCATCTACGAGCTGTGCAAAGACCAGCATGGTTGCAGATACCTGCAGAAGCAGCTGGAGAATCGCATCCCTGAGCAGGTTCATATGATCTGGTTGGAGACCAACCAGCACGTCGTCGAGCTCATGACCGACCCCTTTGGCAACTACCTCTGCCAGAAGCTTCTTGAGTACTGCAACGACGAAGAGCGCACGGTCCTCATCCAGAATGCCGCCCAAGACATGGTGCGCATTGCCCTCAACCAGCATGGCACCCGTGCCCTGCAGAAGATGATTGAGTTTATCTCCACCGAGAAGCAGGTCCAAATCATCATCGAAGCCCTGCGCCATCGCGTCGTCGACCTTATTCAAGACCTCAACGGTAACCACGTCATCCAGAAATGTCTCAACAAGCTCACGCCCGCCAATGCGCAGTTCATCTTCGATGCCGTTGGAGGCGCCTGCGTCGAAGTCGGCACCCACCGTCACGGCTGCTGCGTCCTGCAGCGCTGCATCGACCACGCGTCAGGCGACCAAAAGGCCTGGCTCATTTCTCGCATCACTCAGGAGGCCGTCACCCTTATCCAGGACCCTTTCGGTAACTATGTGGTGCAGTACATCATCGACCTCAACGACCACAACTTCACCGAGCCTCTTGTTGCTCAGCTGCGCGGTCGCATCTGCCAGCTCTCTCGTCACAAGTTTAGCTCCAATGTCGTCGAGAAGTGCCTGCGGTGCTCGCTGGATCCGTCCAAGGACATGATTGTCGAGGAGCTGCTCCAGCCTGGCGAGATCGACCGCCTGCTCCGCGACTCTTTTGCCAACTACGTCATCCAGACGGCCCTCGACTATGCGACGCCCTACATGAAGGTGCGCCTGGTGGATAACATCCGTCCGCACCTCCCGCAGATTCGCTCGACGCCCTATGGTCGCCGCATCCAGGCCAAGATCCAAACCTACGACTCGCGCAGTGGCCACTCTAGTGGACAGGTCACCCCCGCCGAGACGTCCCAAGGCCAGATCCCCCTGCACAATGGTGGCAACCACAACCGCGGTGGCAGCTCCAACATTCTCGTTCCGACCTCGGCCTTTTCGACCAACGGTGGCGCCAATGGCATTAGCCACCGCGGTAGCATCAGCTCCAACAACGGCCCCGTCAACGGCAACGGCAGCGGCAACAATAATGTCGGCAACAACAATGTCGGCAACAACGTCAATGGTGGTGGCGCCAGTGGACACTCGATGAGTGGTCGCCCTGTTGCGACGTACGGCCCGCCGCCGACTTTCGCGCGCGGGCCCATGCCTCCTTCCAACGGCGTGCCTTCGACCGGTGCCATGATGCCGACCATGATCCCGATCAGTATGCCGCCCAGCGGCATGGGTCCTGGCATGCCCGGCATGGGTGTTGCAACGGAGAACGGCGAGGCTGCGTGGCTCTAGAGTGGTGCGTGGTACAGTTCTCCGATGCACTATGGCTTTGTGATGCTTCAGGAGTGATTGACAAATCTGACGATTTCACTTTTGATTCTCGCTTTACAGTCATCCAACGCGGAAGCATTTGATCTGCACAGACAACAAGTGTTTGCTTCTCTTGTGCCACTGTTCATTACTGTTTCAAGTCTCTCCACTACCGCCTCGTTTATATTTGTTCGCTGCAGTTCTTGCTTTATTTCAAACAGTATTGTGGATTTCCCTTTAGCATGTACTCTGGTGTGTGATGAGGTATGACCTTTTCTTCTCCCATTTCACCGCCAGCGGCCAATCTCAAAACAGAATCATTCCCGGGGAATTTTTTTTTTTTTTCACTTACGTTCCTTGTACCTGTCTTTTATGAGCAAAGTGTTTTTCTTTCGCGTTTTAGCACTCACAGCTTTTGCGAGTCGTAATTTCTTTTTCTTTTATATTGCTACTACAACGCTGTTTATCCTACCTTGTTCTTGTTTGTGATTTTATTACCCGTTTCCCTGTTTGACATCTTCAGTTTTTATTCTCCTTGTGTTTTATTCACAACTTTCATTCTCTTCTTCTACCGGTGTCACTGCATTATATCTTGCAATTTGCAATATATACGACCGTCCGTCCAGTATCCGAATTCCGCTTCTCCTTCGAGCGCGACGAATTGATGACGATGAATGACGATTCTGCTTTTTATTCTTATATCTCCCGCCCCTTTTTTTCTTTGCCCTCAATAACAAACTCGGCTGGTATGTGAGAGAGGCCCAGCCAACCAAATACGATTTGATGCCAATCGGATTTTATTTTTCATTCCTGATTTTATTCTCTTTACCCTATTTCCTTCCATCTATATTATATCTGTTATTTTTTTTCCATGTCTCAGTTTCTTCCTGTACTACATTCACCACTCTCAACACCAAGAGCAAAGACGAGACGACGAAGTGGGCGCAACGTGTACTATGTTTCGTTTCCTGCTTTTGCTTTTTCATGGGTCTCGTCGATGAAAATAGGAGGGAAAGGGGAAACTTTAGACACGCATCCTGGCGTCATTTTACATGGGGAGACAGAAGGAGACAGCAGAGGGAGGAATCCATGGAAAGCAAGAAGAACGCAACAGATATTAGTTTCACTAAACCGTACAATGCAAAATGCAACATTATACAAAAGTCCAAACATTCAAAGTGCTTTTGTTATTGAAAGTCGCCATGATAAAAAGAGTGGCATGCTACCAGGTCACAAAATCCAAAAAAAAAATGACACGATCCAAGAAGCAACAACTAGACTCGGCAAAGGGGAGAAACAACAGCAAGATCAAAGAAACAAACCGCCGCCCAGACCATTCCCCAACACCATTTCCCCAACCACGGGCTTCTCCCAGCCGCAGCCACCGAGTCGATCAATCACTTCTTGCCTCTTCCCGTCTTTTTGGGCGCCGTCGCCTTGCCCTTGCCGCGCGCTTTGGGCGCCTCCTCCTCTTCCTCATCCAAGCCGTCGTCCTTGGCGGCCTTCTTCTTGGGCGCCGCACGCTTAGCCTTAGCCTTGGGCTGCTTGATGTACTTGTCCTTCTTCAGGTCTAGCTCCTCGTCCTCCTCATCAACGGGCTCGGCGACGACGTCGCCGTCGTCGTCCTCTTCAATGGCTTCCTCCAAGTCGGGAGCATCGCGCGCCGTCTTTTTCGCCACCGTCGCCGTGGTCGCCTTCATGAACGGAACCGGGTGGGCCATGCCGTTGTATCTGTTCGGGTTAGTACGCGAGCTTTCAAGAACAAGAACAAAAATGTTATCAAGGGTGTAGAAGGGGGGATCACTTACGTTCTGGTAAAGGCGGCCTTGGTCTGGGAATCAATATTCACAGTGTCCTCGGACATGTACCCCAGACCAAGCTCCCGGATGGCATCGACATCGTCTCGTGTCAAGTAATAATTGTCCATCAACTCAATGACACCGTCAATAGCATCCTTGCCCTCATTTTCCAGTTGCTTAATAAGCTGGTACCAGAGAACGGGCAGGTACTGCTGGCGGATCTCGTTGTGGTCGCCCGACGCCTTGAGCCGCATGTGCGAGTGGATCTCGCGCAGAAGTCGGCCAAATTTGCCCGTCTTGCTGTTGTTGCCAAGCCACGAGGTGAAGCCCGAGTGCGTCAGCTGGCCGGCGATAAAGCTGGCTGGGCGAACCGAACTGAATACAGCGTGCGTCGGCATCAGACTCCACTGCTGCTGGGGACCGTGAATCATGCGGTCCACGAGGTCGCCGTCGCTGATGCTCTCGGCCGCATTGTCCACAAGCTCCAGGTACTTGAGGTTGGCCTCCCGCTTGCTGCGCGGCGTGCTGTTGGTAAGTGCCTGGGGTCGCGTGCTGAGGTAGTTCTCCTGGATCATCAGGAAACTGAACTCGTGGTCGTTGAAGTACAGCTCAATCTTGTCATTGAGAGTGGCCTTGCTCGCAGGGGCAAACAGTCCGCCGCCAAGCAGCTTCTGGCAAATATCCCACGGCTTCAGCACCACGTGCTTTTCCCACGCCTTGGTCATGGCCTTGCCATCGTCGTACGACATAGTGGTCTGGTCAAGCTTGGCAGTAGACAACATGTTGATGATCTGCCGAATGTCCTTGCCAGTGCCCTCGATCAGAGCATCGACCACTTGTGTCGGCATCTTGAGGCCTTCACGGAGACAAATGGTCATGATACGCGAGCGAATCTGGTCGACGGTCGGCCGGTTGAAGCGAATATCAAAAGCAACGTTGTCAAACGGCCGCATCTTGGGCAGACGCCGCTCGTTGCAGATGAGGATAAGCGGTACCTCAGTCTTCCGGCAGAATTTGGCGAGCGCCGCGATGCCGCCACGGTCACCAGCAGACATACCATCTACCTCGTCCATGATTAAGACAATGTTCTTCTTTTCCGTAGACACCTTCTTGCCGTCGGCAGCAAAGAAACCCATGAGCGACGTGTTGTCCATGGCGTCGCCAATGCCGTTTTCCACCATCTTCTTGCTGCGCGTGTCACTGGCGTTGTTCTCGATAATGTCGTGGTCGGCCAGCTTGGCCGCGAGGTGAGCCGCCGTCGTCTTGCCGATGCCAGGGGGGCCAGAAATAATGATGGCGCGGGAGTTGCCCAAGCCGTCAGCACCTTTGATCTTGAAGTCGTACTTTTTGGCCTTTGGCCAGTTCTTCAGCCATGCCGCAATCCGCTCAACCTGCGCCTTGTTGCCGCAGATATGGGTCAACTGCGTCGGCGCATACTTGGTCGTCCAGAGCTGCTGGGAGCTTGCCGGATGGGCAGGCTTAGCAGCGGGTGGGGGGCGAGCAGCAGCTTGAGCAGAGCCGGTCTTCCCATTTGCGGCGGGCGCCTTTGCAGCAGCTTTGGCAGCAGCCTTCTCGGCCCTTTCGGCTGCAAGTCTCTTGGATTCCTCCTCCCGGTTCATCTCTTCGGCTGCCAGCCGGATCTTTTCCAGTTCCTTGTCCTGCTTCTCGCGAGCCTTCTCGGCCTCTTTGCTGTCGCCGCCGCCGGCTGGCAGGCGCTTGATCATCTCAAACAAGCCGGTCTCGTCAATGGTACGAATACCAAACTGTTGGATCTTGGCGAGTTTACTGGGACCAGCATCGTCGCCCAGCACAATCCAGCCAGTGTTCTTGCTCGGCGCACTCATGACCTTGCCACCGTACCGCTTGACCAGAGCCTGGCCCTCGTCTCTACTAATCGTCTTCAAGAGACCAGTGAAAACAAAAGTCTGGCCAGCCAGACAATTTGGCTCACCCTCCGGTATCTCCACAGCGCCAGCATTTGGCGGAGCTCCAGAGTTACCGCCGCCAGCAGCTGCCTTTCGCCAGTTAAACTTGGGCGCGTTGCCGTCCTTGGGCGGTGGTGAGGGGGGTTGGATCAGCGGGATGGAATCCAAGATGGCCTGAACGGAGGAGTTGCTGGTCGCGCCGCTGGCGGCAGCCTTGGTGGCAGCAGCTTTTTTCGGAGTCGAGGCAGCGGGCGTTTTTGGTTTAGAGGCAGCCGTTGTAGTGGCTGTCGTGGCGGCCTTCTTCCTCGGCTTTGTGACAGGCGAGAGATCGACATCCGACTCTGACTCTGGCGTCTTGCGCTTCTTGCTTACCGCGGATGGCGTCCGACTACCGGCCGCGTTGCTACTCTTTGCCGATGCGGTCTTGCCCTTCTTCGGTGCGGGCTCGAAATCGTCTTCATCGGAATCGATCGTGATGGCAGCCTTAGCACTGCGCGAGGCGACTCTCTTAGGCTTAGGCGCAAAGTCGTCTTCCTCGCTGTCGTCTTCCTCCACATAGTCGTCGTTCTTTCTCTTTCCCCTCTTGCCGTCGGCCGCAAAAATGTCGTCACCGCCGTCCTCGTCGTCATTGTACGCGTCTTCATCGTCGTCGAGGTCGTATGATTTATACGCGGCCGTGGACCGCTTCTTCTTTGCGGGTGGTTCTGTTGCCGTAGCAGAGCGACCGTTCTTAACAGGCTCCGATGCAGAAGCTACGTTCTCCTTCTTCCTTGGGCTTACGCGGATTTCAACTTCGGTTTTCGGGAGGCTCTTCGGGGCAGCCTTGGCAGGTGTCGTTTGTGTCTTGGGCTTCTGGTTCGACTTGGTCGAGGCAAAGTAGTCGCTGGCAGAGATCTCAACCCCTTCGACAGGCTGTGATGCACTATTCGTCTGTTAGTTGGTTTGGTCCTCATACGGCCATTTAAACTCGAGGCAAGAGAGCTTACCCTTTCGTCTTCTTCGGTGTGGTCTTTGCTGAGTTCTTTACCCTGTTTCTGTGGTAAGTGGACTGCCTTCCATCTCATATTCGTGCGTATGCATTCGCCCAGACTCACTCGACCACATTGTCATCGTCGCTTTCCTCCACGACCTTGCGGGCTCCTGAGACTTGTCAGCAATCCGCCAATAGAACGCCCTTGCGAGTCCAAACCAAAGAAAACAAAAAACTCACTTCCACGGCCCTTCTTAGCTGCCGTATCCTCTTCTTTCTTTGAAACCGCCGGCTTGGCCTGTGCAGCACCGCCTTTTGGCCCAAAGAATGACCGGATGTCAGGCATGATGAGGCCGAAGAGCGCCGTCCCCGATCTTGGGACCTTGAAGGGACCAGAAAAGTGTCCGTCCAATTTTGGTGTTAGACACGGCCGAGAGCTCGTCAACGACACACTTTCTAGAATGGATTTGTTTCTTGATGGTGAAAAGATTGGAAAGCAGGGCTGGATGTGCAAGAAGAGACCAAATCGTAGGTAACAATTCGAAAGCAATGGGCGGGCAGGAGCGGTCCTTCCTACCGAATAAATTATGGTGGGGAGGCACCTGCCAAAAGGCGTGAGCTGCACTCTAGGCCTGTTGTTTCCCCCTGCGTTTCTCACATTAGAAGGTACGCGAAGTTGACGCGAAAAACGTGACCTTGAAGCGTGTGCTAAAGTGCGCCGTCATAGCGCCTGTTCTTGCCTGTTCCGAAGGCGAGTGGGGCTCAAACGGGACAGAGGTCCCCATGCCTGTATTTTCAGGCACCAATAGCTCACACAACCACCAGCACCAGCCAATTGGCCCACTAGCGTCGCCTGAGCTACCTACTGGTATGGCCGTAGATTTTTTTCGCAATTGGTCTGAGGAAGGCTTCGGATCGAACAGCGAACGACGACGTGTGTTTTGCGCCATTGGAAACAAGATCACCAGCCAATCGTCTGGTCGACCTTCACACCGATCGATCGTCTCGGGTATTGGCATACACATTCGGCCCAACATGCCCACCAGCATGCCAGGAGCAGCCATGCTGCGCCAGGCCTTCCAACGGTTCAGCATCACCGCCTCTCCGTCCACCGCCTCCTCTACCTCCTACAATACCTCCTCCTCGGCCGTTGCCCCTCGGCGGCTGACTCGCACATTCTCGGCCAGACCTGCCATGGCATCCTCATCAATACGGCCAGCCATCGCGGCCCGCACACCCTCCTCCTTTCTCCAGCACCACATGCGCCGCCCCTTCTCGGCCACCGCCGCCGTGCAGGGCACCTGGCTTGAGCCCCAGCTCGATCGCCGGAAGCGCATGATGAAGGGCCGCCCACGTGTAGCCACGGGCGGCTCTGCCAAGGGCACGACGGTCGTGTGGGGTGACTACGGCCTGCGCATGTACGACCACCACCGGCGCATCAGCGCAAAGCAGCTCAAGGTCGCAGAGGACACGATCAAGCAGCGTTTGCGTGGCCAGAAATACCGCCTGTACAAGCGGGTGAACTGCAATGTTGGCGTGTTCGTCAGTGGCAACGAGGTAAGCTCCGACCGCCTATCGGTTGTCCAGGGTTTTTCTATATCTTTTCTTTTTCTTATTGGAGCCTCCCCTAACTTGATTATAGATGAGAATGGGTAAGGGTAAGGGTTCATTTGACCACTGGGCGGCACGCGTGGCGGTTAATCGTGTTGTCTTTGAGCTGCGCGGCGCCATCCACGAACAGGTCGCGCGCGATGCGTTCCGTCTGGCGGGCAACAAGCTGCCGGGCCAGTACGAGTTTGTGAAGAAGGGTGATGCACCGGTGGTGGGAATTACGAAGATGGAAAACGGCCTGACGCTGGAGGACCTGAAGCGGCCATGGAAAGCCGCGGCGGATGTGCCGGCCGTGGAGGAGGCCAGCAGCGGTCCGGCCGCGAGTGCGCCGCCAGCATAAAAGAAAGAAACTGATGAGGGAGGATGTCGGTCCGGAGTAGAAAATATTTTAAAAAGGTCCACGGAAAGGCCGTGGGATATACAACGTATTTATGCCGGAATTGTACTATTATTAAGACATAACCTCAGAACAAAATTACAAGTTTATGACCCGTGTCACAGGTTCGATTTTAATCTACAGAATACTTTTACGATGCTTTTGTTTGGATTATATCTGTCCCAAAGGAAGAGACAAAGTCACATCTTTGTATAAGCAGAATTACACGGTCAAAATAGTAATGGCTGCTACGTTCCTTGCATATAAAACGTTTTCATTTTGACGAAAGGAAAACTTCGCTTAATAAGGACCGGTGCACAAGAATATACTATGAAAAACTTCCCCCCTGTGAAAATCTGACGAGAAAGGAGAAAATAGAAATAAGACGCGAAAAGCGGCAAACAGGGAGTGACGCGTGTTTCCTTAAGAATAGCAACACACAAAAATAAGAAAATCACAATTCACATCATGAACCAAACATCTTTCTAGATCAACGGGTTTGGAAGAGAAAGGAAAACTCATTGTCATAATGGTGTAAAAATAAAAGTAAATAAAAACACAGTTGTGGTCAAACAATGGGGACCTATAAAGTATCAAAAAGCGAAAAGGAGACATAAAAGAGCTGCGTGGGCAGTCGGGCCAAAAGTCAAACCACTTTTTGTAAAAAACAAATGTCCTCACAATCACAACGAGATAGTAAGGACGAAAGGATAAAAAAAAGCATTGGGCGTGGCAATAGAAGTTAAAAAGTTTTGCAAAGTTGCTCCGAGCAAGAAGAAGTAAAAAGTAAACCGGGGATAGATAAAATCTCGGAAGGCAAGGTTGTGATGAAAGCAAAAAGACAAAACGAAAAACGCATGCATAGGAAAGACAAAGTCACAGCAGAAGCCCACCAAAACAACCCCTCACTTGCCTTTGAAAGAACGCAAGAGGACAAAAAGAAATACAAAAGAAAGGTAGAAAACGAGCTTAGATACATCCATGCGCCATGCGGTCCTGTAGCATGTTCACAAGTTTCGCTTACTCGTTCTAGGACGACTCGGTTTTGGCAATGATCCCGTTAATGCTGGAACCCGTGGGGGTCGTAGTCGCCTTAAGATCGCCGGCCGAGGTTGAGGGAGGGCCGGCCGAGCCAGCAGCAGAAGTAGCAGAAGCAGCAGGAGGGTTAGGGGCGGCCTTCTTGTCATCCTCACCGCTGTCGTCGTAGTCCTCGTCCACGTCCACCTTGCGCGCGGCACGCTCAGGCTCATTGGCAGGCGGCGCGGGCGGCGGCGGCGGGGGTGCATGGTCCAGGCGCTTACGGTCTTCTTGGGGGTAGTCCTTGGGGTCAGGACCAGACAGAGGGCCGTCGTGCTGCTGCAGGTGACCGGCGGGGCCGCTGGCCGACTGCATCGGTGGGAGGTGGCTGGACACATTATTGTGCGCGGGCTGGTGGTGGGCCGCCTCAGATGGGTGGTAGCTGTCCCGCGGCGGCGGCGGCTGCTGCTGATCGTCCGGCCGGCGGATATCGTCTCCACGGCGCGGGTCGTCCTGGCGGCGGGCCTCGGACGAATTGCGGCGGTAGGGTTCGTGGGGTGGCGTAGAAGGCCGACGGTGGCGGATATCATCCATCCGGGCACGTGCCTCTTCCGACGCTGGCTTCTTGGCCGACGACTCGGGATCGTCCCACTCCCGCATGCGCTTCGGACCAACCGACGGTGGCCGGTCGTCGCGGTGCATACCCGGCTCGGGAGGAATCGAGGACTGCGGCGGGGGAGGCGGTGGTGGCGGGCCGTTCTCGATCGGCCCCTGGCCATTGGATTCAGGATGTGGTGGGTACGGTGACTGGTGCTGCGGGTAGGCCGACTTCGGCGACGGCATGCGGTTGTCGTGCACGGGACGGGGGCCATCATTTCGCGGCGGGCTCGACGCGCGGTACATCATCGGACTAGGGTTACCAGACCCATGCGGCGGGGGAGGGCCGTTAATTCCGTTGCTCGACGGCATGGGTGCAGGGCCGACGTAGTTCGGATTCTGGACACGCGTCTGGGGCTGCTGGGAAGGTGGTGGCGGTGGTGGCTGCTGCTGCTGCTGTCCCGGCGGCGGCGGGCCGTAATGGTTGGGCGGGGGAGGAGAGCGTCTGAGAGGACCACCGGGCGGTAGAGAGTTGGGACCGCCCATGGGGCTCGGGCCAGCAGGGCCGCTGGGCCCAGGACCAGGGCCAGGACGTCCTTGCTCAGGGTACGGGCGGAGTTGCTGCTCCTGGCGTGGGCTTCCGCGAGCTGGCGCGGGAGGAGCAGGGCCCCGGTACGGCTCTCGCTGGTCGAAGGGGTTGGGCGGCTGCGGGGGAGGATTCATCTCCGACAGACGGCCCCATCCGTTCGAGCCAGGCCCCGGTGGCGGGGGCGGGCCGTTCGTTGGTGCGGGCTGCTGGGGCGCAGAACCAGCCCACTGAGGGCCCGGAGGGCCAACAGCATTTGTCTGGTAAGCATGCGGGTGGACGTCCGTGGGCATGGGCGCGCTGCCTACACCGTTCGTGGAGCCGCTGCGCAGCAGCTGCAGGCGAGCCTTGATGTGCGGGTTGTTGGGGTCGAGCTCGGCCGCCCGTTGGTAGGCATCCAGTGCATCGCTGATCTGATTGTTGCAAGACTCGTAGAGTGTGCCTAGGTCATACCACACCTCCGAGATGAAGGGATTGAGACGAATGGCACGGGAGTAGGCATCCAGTGCATCGCGGTACTGGTTGATCTGGTAGTAGAGCACACCGATGGAGCACCAGAAGGTAGGGTTGCGGCCCTCCCGGTAGACCGCCTGCTGGTAGGCTTCATAGGCCTTGGGGTACTTTTGCTGCGACATGTAGCACCGACCGAGGAGGTACCAGCTCTGCGCATCGTTGTTATCGGCTGCAACGGACTTCTCGAGGTACTCGATCGCGCGGTCTTGGCTCGCAAAGTTGCTGCTCTGGTTGTGGTACAGCCAGCCGAGCTGCTGGAGAACCTTGGCATGGTTCGGGTCGCGCTCGAGGACACGCTGGTACGCGCCCTTGGCGTTGTCAAACTGCCGGCACAAGTGTTAGCATCACACAGCTATTATGATTTTCCCGGCGTCTCGCTTTGGGAATACCCCGAGCTTCTTTTATTTCCCAAGGCGACTTACGTCTTTCTGCTGCTCGTACACATGGCCGATTTGGAACCAAATGTCCTCCTCTGTCAGAGGCGGCGGTGGCGACGTGACGATATACTTGAAGCACTGTGTGGGAGAAGCACAATGTTAGTAATGCTCGATGCAGTTTGCAGCCCAGCCCAGTACAAGCTCCAACCAGACAGGGCAATCCACTTACATCCAGACTCTGGTTGTACTTTTGTTGCTGCTTGTATATGATACCAAGGCGGAAGTAAATCTCGTTGGCCTTTTCAAAGTCGGGCTGCATGGACATGACCTGCGAGAAAGCCTCCTCGGCATGATCGAGAGAGCCGTAGCGGTCGTACAGGATGCCAATGCCGTACCAAAGCTTAGGCTCCTTCGGGTTGCGAAGGTTGACGAGGGCGGACTGGTACGCAGCATAGGCCTGCTGCAGATCGTCCATCATCAGGTAGCAGTGGCCAAGGCTGCCCCAGACTTCGCCGTTGTTCTGGTCCAGCTTCAGGATCGTCTGCAGATACTCAATGGCCTTGGGGAATTCCTCGCGCGAGCGGAGAATGAGGCTGATGGCGTTCATCGCAGGGATGGACTGGGGGTTCGACTGCAGAGCGCGGTCGTATGCGATCATGGCATCCTCCGTGCTGCCCAGGAGCTCAGAGAAGGAGCCTAGCAACAAAATATAGTTAGCAAGGTGATTGCTATTGATATCGATGCGGACATCGCCGGCAACTGAACGTGACAACAGGCAGAGGGGGCATACCAATTTGCATCCAAACAGTCTCGTTCATGGCCGAGATCTGGCGCGACGGCGCATAGGTGCCTGGCGGAGGGGGGGCCGGAGGGGGCGCGGGCCCGGGAGGGCCATGTTGCATCTGCATTTGCATAGGCGGCGAAGGGTGATGCTGGGCCATGGCGGTCCTTGCTGTATCGTCTGACGGCCAGCAGAAGGAAACAAGGAAATGGGCTGATTGTCTTGGGTTGCCAGTTCAGGTCGTGGGCGATGCGCAATTCGAACGCGAGGTCAAAGGACGCAGCAGCCGGCGCCAAGCAACAACCACAGTCCGCAAAGACAATAGCAAAGATGACAGAGAGTAGGTGATGAAGGGGAGGAAACGGAGAAACGTATCGTCGAGGCAAAACAAGAAAAGAAAAGAAAAAAAAAACGCGCTGAAAGTGGTGGTGGTTGAGAATTGCGTTCGATGGCGATGCCGGGGGGTTGATGCCAATGGAGATGGCTGGGGGGAAGTCAGAGATATCGTTCGGTGACGAAAGCTTGTCGCGCTGGCTCGACGATGTCCCAAGCCCAGCTGCTGGTCGGTTCGTGATGGGGTGTGTGAAGGGGAATGGAAGGCAAGTCGCGCGCACAAATCGTGTCGTCGGAATAGTAGCGGACAGGAGAAAGAAAAGGGAAGAGGCAGGAAGTAAAAACGAGGCAACAGAGGCAGGAAGCAGGAAGCAGAAAGGGGAAGGAGGGAAAGAGGGAGAAAGGGAAAATAGGAAGGTTTGCACTTTCCCAGGCTGTCTGGGCTTTGCTCCTTGGGGGTTGCTTTGGCTGCGGCGCGATAACTTACCTTACCCACGAGCTCTTTTTTTCTCCTCTCCGGTTTTTATTATTTTATGTCTGAATTTATCGAATTTTGTGGAATTGATCGAGCCGCGCCCCCGTTTCCCTTTCCATTTTATTTTAGCGCAATCCGAAGGTGATTTATTTTAATTCTTTTGTCCGTTGACGCCTGTTGCAGGGGGTGGAGACCCATTTTCGGCTTTATTTTGGATTTTATTTAATTCTGCGCAGCTCATTGGTCTTGGCTCGCCCGCCTGTCGTCTCCTTCGCCGGGTGGGTTTAGCGTCTGGTTGAGTGCTGAGGTGGTGTTGGCGTCGCGCTGGTGTGGGTGGGGTTGGAAGGTTTGTGGATCGAAAACCTTGGGACTCAAAACAGGTACATGTATTTCGTACTCTCCGCCCCGGTTGCTCCAGGGTTGCGGGAACCACAGATGGGCTGCTGACTGTGTGGGAGATGGGGAGGGCTGCGGCACGCGCAATGTACCTTGTACTTTAATAGTGGGTCTGGTAGCGGCGTGGGTGTCTTGGCATGGCTCTTGCTGTTTCTGTTGTTCTTTGCTCTTTCCCAGCGAGGGCAGGGGGGTGAGGTCTCGCACGGTCTGGGTACGTATCGTAGTGTGGGTATGGGACTGTGCGTGTGTGCTGCGTGTGCTTGCCGGCCGATGCCTTATTTGGCGTGTGTCTCCCCGTCTCCTCCTGTCTTTCCTTTGCCCTTCTGTTCCCTTCCTTCCTCGTCCCCGCCCCTTGTCTCCTTCCCTCACACAACCAGAAAATCCACAGCAAATCCACGCTAGGCCGTATCCACCGAGGGTCGCCCGTACTTCGTAAACCACTGGCGGCTGGGTGTGGCCCGTGCATGACGATGGAAGCTTTTGGCAGACGTGCAGAAACCAGTGTCGTGTCCAGTGTGCTGCTGCAGCTCTGACTGGGGCCATTGTGATTGGCGCAACGTTCTGTTTCGGTTTGTGGCGTTCGGCTATGGCGAACGCAGGGAGTACGAGGGCCGATACTCTGTACTGTGTACTGTCTACGGGGTGAGGGAAGGTGCGACGGGCAAACAAAATAAGGCCAGACGGACATGGTTAACGGTGGGCGCGGGCTGCCGCTGGGTCCAGGCCATCTGGTTTTATTGGCTGCGTTATGACTGCAGGTTTATTTGGTTAATTCTCCTACCGAAGGTCACCCATTCGTTCCCTGCCCAAAGACAAGGGATGCAAGCACCACCCGCAGCACTGCGTTGTGGTGCATCTGCGCCTAATCATCCCCGCCACTGGTCGCTTCTGCCAACGGCGCTGTGCCAGTGCCTACGCTTGTGATGTTGTCTGGCTGCATCTGCGAGCGAGAGGGGAAAGAGGCGACTTTGACTTGGGATAAGCGCTTGTGGCGTGACGCCCAAATGTCGAAATGGTCGAAAACGTACGGGAAGTTTTGTATCTTACCACGAATGGTGATGCGGTTCCCAGACGGGAGCGCGGAGTCATTCGTACGCAACTCAATACATCCTCTTGGTGTCATTGTCGACACTCGATTCCACGTACGGTTACGGGGTCGTGATCTGGCTCGTGATGGTCTGTTTTCTTTGGTTTCTTTTCCTTGCGGTGGCAGTTTCTTGTCCAGGATAAGGGGTTCGTTTCATCCCATGGTGATTTACCTCAGATCACCACCTGACCACGTCTCCGCCGCTGCGCACTGCTGTCAAAGTTCTATTCTCGGACACCAGTGATTTAGCCTCCACAAGCCTCCCGGGCATTGACCACTCAGAGTGGCTAGCCTTGCTGTGGCTGCTGACTGAAGTTTGAGGAGATTGCGTCAAGCAACATTGCGAGCTATCTGAACAGGTCCTTCTTAGGTGCCGCCCTCATGTCATGTGCGCTTTCAGGAGAAGATATGAGGAGGGATCGAGAGGCACAAGGCAATTGGCAGCCAATGTATGTCAAAAAAAAAGCACGCCATACTCCCGTCATGGGGAAATCTAAGAGATCGCAGAATTGCCCTCGTTTATCGCGGCCCATGGCTTTTCGCTCTGAACTCTGGCGACCCCGTTCAAGGCTTCCAGGGCTTAGGACAACTAGGCAAGTCGATTGGATCTGGAGGAGGATCCTGGTGCGTGTGCCCGTCGGGAAGAAAATTGTGGAAAGGTACTTCAACAGGCAGCAAAGATACACAACACGCTGCTTTAATATCACAGACACCAAAGTACACAAAGTACTCTGTTTTGACAGGGGCAGTAGTGCTGAAACTTGGCTCGACCTCCCAGTAATCTAGGGCCGTCTTTGTCGTACCCGAGACAACCCTTTTCGCGCTCTGGTCTTATTTCCTTGAACCCGCCAGTTGCAGGCCTAGCCGGGAGCCCACATGCCTCGCCCATCTGCCCGGGGAAGTAGAACACAGCACAGCAGCACACCTGAGCACAGGACGCACAGCACATTACAGGCAAGCAAGGGCTAAAGGACAGCCAACTCACACCCCCTAACCTTGCTCCCGTTTCGTTCCACGCCCCTCCGTATTCTGTACGCTCCTTCCATTCCCTCGCTCTGACGTGCTTTTCCACTGGTCACTGGTCCGCTGCTCGTTCTTTCTGCACTCACGCCCCCGTGTTTCCATCGGTCAGCGACTGATGGAAGGAAAGCGGAAAGAACCTCGTCAGCTCGCCTCCTTCCCGAAGTCTCCAATCCTCGGCGTTGGTGTGCATACGCTCAAAAGTGCATCGTGTCGTCCTTTTCCCTGTCTCACACAACGCCAACTTATGCTAAAGTATCCTCTCCGCGTCCCCCGTCCCCCCCTCGCATCGTACATCCCGCATCACGGCCCTAGTTGACAACCGTTTGGCCTCGTCGTTCTCCTGTTCAGCCACGTTTGTTTCAGTATTCATTTTGGGCAGGTCCTCGTTTGCCTGACACTTTAACCTTATGCCATTCCCCGAAGGATCGTTTGTGCCGGCACAAACATTGTTTACTCAAACTCGGTGGGCAAAATAAAACAAATAACAGGTCTCGTCGTCTAATGAACACGGGGCGCCTACGGCCTAGCATGCATTATGTCCAAGGGTTCTCAACGGCATTTTGGACCGCCCTGTCATGGCTTCGACGCGGGCCCTTGCTTTCTTTCCCTTCCTTGGTCCAGTCCGTGAGGCTCACCATCTCCGACAAAAACGGGGGGGAATAGGGTGGCTCAACCAGGCTTATCGTAAGCAGAGGCTGTCAAACAAAAGACACAAGCCAACAAACTGCTAAAACACGCCTCAACAACCGTGGCACGCGCCCATGTCGAACTTGTCATCGCTTCCCGGGACAAGACCCCAAGCGGTGGCCTCGCCAGATCTCAAAGTCGAATCAAGAGCATACGACATATATGAATACACGTCCCGCACCCTTTTGGAACAGATTTGCCGCCCGTGACACATTATCATTGTCATTGTCTTTCGATGTGTATTTCCGACTGTGACTGCCGGTCCCTCCATCCATTTGCCTCCCTTGCCAGGCCAGTAGCGCTGCACGCGATCCCGTTGGTTGACATATGCGGAAAAAACCACGCGGATAAGTGGCGGTCCTCACGGGTCTGGGCGTGGCTTTTTTCTGCACCCAGTCTCCCTCCACAAAATACAGTCCGTCGTAGTAAATAAGCCAAGGCCCAGACTTTTGCGTGCCATAAAGCACAATTCCGCAGCTAACACCTCAAATTTAAGAAGGCGACTATGCACAGAAGAAGCTTTTTACTGCTATTTTCGAAGCTTGTACAATCTCAGCTTGCACGGTAAACGCGTTCATGATCGACAACAAAGGTCAGATGACGTGTCGAGGCAGCATTCCGGTGCGGTTGGACAAAGGTACGGTAGAGTGCCATCGTATGTGCATAATGCTCTGTAAACGATACGGACATGAGAAGAGCTTCCCTCCCAACGTGGCTAATATGGAAGCGCATCCTAAAGCCGTCTCCAATATGTGTCCCAGATTGCTTCGAAATAGATAGGTAAATGAGCCAACGACACTCCCCTGTGAATTGTCTATATCTTATTGCCATACACCAATGGCGTACCCCTAAGCAGTAAGCCGCAGTCAGGAACGACGGCCAATTTCGTCTCGGTAAGTGAAGGCTCGAGTCTAGGCCCTGATCCTTTACACGGAATTATTCAACTCTGTTTATATGCACCTTGCGTTATTGCGTGGATCTGTCTCGTGTTTCTGCATATCTGTGTCTGTCTACCTCACCGCGTACCACCCACACCGGCTGGGATGATGGAAAGGACAAACAGCTGCAGCCGTCACACTTATCACGGGCATCAGAGACTCAGCCGGTCGTACACGCATGGGCTGGAAATGCTGCAAAAAGACGAATCAGCACCGTTGTCTTGGCGTCGAGGATGCACACTTGCAAAGACGTGGACAACACCGAGTACAGAGTACGGAGCACGGTTCGCGAACAGAACGAGGAGAGAGGCGCGCACAAAAACAAAAGACAGAAGCACGGGGGTGCAAACACAAACACCCAAACGAAACGCACACACTCAAGACTCTTTCTTTCTCTCGGCACTTATACATCCAATGCACGACATGTCAAGTAGATTTCTTACACACTCTGGGTCACAGCATATGCGTCTACAGATGCGTTGTGTACACATATCTGTTTGCCATATGTTGTATCTCCCTCTCTTCTCCATACGATCATGCACTGCATAACCTGTGTAGCCAGGCTGTGCGGCAGCGTGCATGCATTCCATACGAATGCACAGGACACACACGAAACATGCACCGATGTACATGGTGCTGTGCGACACAAGATGCACGGGACACACACGGGGAAAGGGCTGCGTTGTACATATTCCAGCCCCCTCCGAAGCGATAATTCAAAATAAGTGACAAGATAAATACGAGCAAACAATTGCGGCCATAGATAGTGTGTAAAGGATCAGCACCCAAGAGCGCCGCAAGCTCATATCCTTGGCGATGCACATATACGGTAAAGTGCTTGCATCTCGCCGAGAAGAGCCACAGACTAGATACGATTGGAAAACAGCCTGCGGTTGCACACGACGAAACCAAGTGTTCCCCTCTCTGCCACCTTTTTCCTCACTTCCGACCCGACACACGAAAGTCGACATGTGACTAAACAGCAACTTGGGGTACTGGTATCAAATGTGGGTAATTTTCATAAAAACTCACCGCTGGAGACGCCCACAAGTCTATTAAAAGCAGGCTCTCTCGAACCTCATAGTAGCAATACATGTTGGGGCAAGGAATGAAATTGCTCCCGTGTCTCTTTGCAGGCTAATGTCAACATTATATGCCCGGGTCCGATGGGTAGGGTAATAATCTAAAAAGGTGCACTCTTCTCTCTTTCCAGAAATTGCAACCCCAATGTGGCCCATAGTATCGCTGTTCGCTACTGGATACCGCACCGGTGCCAAATGCCATATGCAACGACGGCACAGTATCGGCGTATTATAATAAAGTATCAATATTGCCGATCAGTTAGAGAACAGTTCACGGATGATGGGGGATGGAGGTGGCACAATCTATTTACGACGGCATACAGTCTCCCTATCTGTTGCGCCGCGGTTTCCCAACCTTTCTTACATTTTTCTTTCTTCTCTCCTTCCTTGCATTCCTCCTCCCATACCTCCACATACTCTCTCCTCCGCCTATTATGGTATAGGGAAATACAAAACAACACATAAGCAGCATGGGACGGCACGCACGGAATGTCCTGATCTTCCATGGGGTGATAGCATGTACGGAGTGCAGTGAAAACGAAGCAAGGCCAGACCAGAGAGCAGGTGTATTCTTTTGCGTTTGTTGATGGCAACCGACAGGTGAGTAGGATACAAACCAAGTATGTAAATTTTGGCTTGAAAAGTGGTCAAAGATGCAAGGTTTGTTTATGAAGAGATTTGACAGAACCACAAAGGAGAGCATCCCAGGACAGGAGGAAGCAAAAACTAAGACAAGGTTGCCTCATGTGCGTGAGAAGCTGAATGAAAGTCTGGCTACTCGAACAGGAACGGGTTTAGGGCTGGGCCGCCTTGGTGCCAGCCGGCGTGGCAGCCATGTCCAGGCTAGGCAAGGGGCTGGGGATCCAAGTAATAATACTCCGCATGTCGTGGCACTGCGCCCCAAGTTCACGAAACTCCGGTGCCTGTGATCTCCGTATTAGTAGGATGCAACTCTTGTGTCTGGGTGTCTATTATCAGCGCGCCGTACGATTTTCAGTGTACTCTGGACAGTATTTGCACAATTTCCTTTTGCTTTTTGCTATGTATAAATGGTGCTACGATACTGCACAATCCGCTGCACGAAACCGAAGAGAGGGAGAAATAAGAAACAAAGAGCACCTTCCACGAGGGAAAGTGGCAGACAAGGCCATCCAACAAACGTCGTGCCTGTCCTATTTTTTGTATGTGAGCGGGTTAAGGAAAAGGCGCTGTACGGCTCCTTCGCTGTTCATCATTTCAAGACGTGCAGATGTTAACACGCAATGTGCCTCTGTCACTTCCCAATGCAATTAGCAGCTCAATGTCG